GAAGGGAGGCCGCATGGGAGGAGGAGGGAGAGGAGGAGGAGGAGGCGCGCTGGCGAGGTTGCAGAGGCGGACGGGGGAGGAGGAGGAGGGGCGGGGAGGAGGAGGCGGCGGCAGGTTTGAGGGGGGGGGCGCCGCTTCTCTGCAATCTGGTCAGCGACGGAGGCGAGGGACTCGTTGGCGCACTTGTCGGCTCGGCCCTTGTGGAGGTAGTCTTGCAGCGCCGCCAGCTGCCGGCTCTGCCGGTTGCTCCTCGCCGCCGCCGCGGCCGCCTGCGGGCGGCGAGGGCGAGGGCGGCGGAGAGAGCGGTGAGGGCGAGAGCGGCGAAGGGGTGAGGTGAGGGCCGAATGGGCGGTGAGGCCGTGGGGGCGATGAGGGCGACGGTGGTGGAGGAGGTGGTGGCGGCGAGGATGGCCGCGGCGGCGGCGGCGGCGGCGGGGGGGGGGGGAGGGTCAGAGCGCCTTCGGGCTGGCGCAGCACACGCGAAGTGTGAGCGACACGCCGCCGCCGCCGCTGACGGAGAGAGCTGCCCGCACCGAGGTGGCGGCGGAGGCGGAGGCTGCGCGCGGCGGCGGTTTGCCCACCTCGGTGCACTCCTCCCACACCACCCCTCCACCCGAGCGGGTGCCTCCGCGCCCTCCCGAGCGCCGCTTCCGGGGCGGCTCGCCGCCGTCGCCAGGCTCCCGCTCCCGTCCCGCTCCGGATGCTACGGCCGGTGGCGGCGGCGGCCGCGGCGCCGGCGGTGACGGAGGAATGCCCTGGTCCTTGCGCCACGCGTCGGCGATGGAGACGGCGCGCTCCCCATTCGGCCCGTGGAAAACGTTGTACGAGCGCGCCACCGCCTTGCGCCGCTGGACCGTCCATCCCGGCGGGAGGGCCTTCGGCGGGAGGGCCTTGGGAGCGCGGGGGTGCTTGGCCTCGGGCGGCGGCTGGCCGTCCTCAAGGGGACGCTTATCGACGAGCGGCTGGTCGCCCAACAAGTCGAGTGCAGCGAGTCGCTCGTCAGCGGGCGGCGCAGTGTAGTGTGCGCGCTGCTGTTGCACGGCGGCTGCGAGGGCGGCGAGCCCGTCGAGTCCGCCGGTTGAGAGCAGCATCCTGTCCCGATGAAGACGGGCGGTGCGGTAAATTATTTTTTTCGCGACGCTGTAGGATAGTAGGTATATGAGCGACCCACCTCGAGGGTTGCTCCCGACTCTGGCCTTTTCTGGGTCACGTAGCCACACCTCGCCTCCTTGGTGCGAGTGGCTGCCAGTTCGACTCTGGGGAGGATCGAACCATCAACATGGTAGACAAGCGCTGCATCTGCAGCCCGTGCCAGTTCTTGGTGGCTAAGCACTTGGAGCACTTGGAGTGCAGTCATCAACCTCACATCCAGGGCCGGGGAGCTAAGAAGCGCACCCAGCGGGCCGGATGATCGGTATCGGGTTACGGGCTAGAGAGCCCTAGCCCCGGGGGTGCGCGTTCGCAGGGAAAGGGCCGTAAATTAACCCCTAAACGGCTAGCTAAAAACGGGGTCCGAGGGGTCGATTTTTGATTGGGCTTCTCGCGCGTCTATTCGCCCGCCCAGCACCCCAGCATGCGTAGGGAGGGTGTTGCACATTACTTAGTGACACTTGGAGGCTAGGGACGGCAAAGACGTCACCTCGAAATCTCCCTCAAACACGTCCGTCGCCGCCAGGACAGGCCAGACGGGGGCAGCGATCGCCGATTCTGCACGCACACTGGCACTCAACCGGTGACATCACGCCCGCCGCTCACTCCACCGGTCACTACTAGACAGGTACACACGTACCGCAGCGTCGCAGAGTGCAGCAAAGCCGGTTCAAGCGTCGGCGAGAGGTCTCACCGCGCGCCCTGGCGCTGCTGCTGCGCGCGGGTGCTGCGGCGCTTGGCGGGCGGAGCCGGAGCGTCATCGTCGCCATCACCGTCGTCGTCCTCCTCCTCGGCGTCGGCGTCGGCCCCGGCGCCGCCCTCCTCCTCGTTGTAGCGCAACTTCCGCTTGGGCTTGCGCGTCCGCTTCACCTTGCGGATGCACACCTGAGGGCCCCCCAAGCGCACGGCGCGATCAGGATGGGTGTGTGTGTGTGTGGTGTGCGCGCGCGGCGTGTGTGTGCGTGTGACCGTGACGGCGGTGCACCATCGACCACGCCAAACGCTCTCACCCCCCGTGCTGCCGAAAGACAACTCTCTGCCGGATTGGACGGCGTATCGTCTCCCCATTCCCTTGCCACCGCCTGCCACCGAAGGCGCAGAGCGGGATTGTGACGGTCTCTCTATCGCGGGGCGCGTCGCGCCTGTGTGCCATCGGCGATCTCTGGCTGGAAGGACAGCGCCTTCAGCTTCGCACGGATCTTCGGGTCGTTCGAGTGGGCCTTCATCCAGCACGTGCCTTCGTGCATGTGGCCGCAGCCAGGGTGGCCGCACCCGGAGTAGATCAGCTTGCGGCACCACCTGCACCTGCCCTTCTCAGTGAACGTGACGGGCACGTGGCGGGTCGGTGAACCCAAGCGGCTGACGACCGGATCACGCCGTGGCGACTTGCGCACCGGCGCCTGCGGGTCGGGCCTGCTCTTCCGCTTCTTTGAGCGAGCGGCCCCCTCCCGCTCTAGCCGGTCCGCCATCTGAAGCAGCTCCTCCATCGTCTGCAACGTGTCTTCGATGAGCGTCGTCTTTTTCGCACCGGCGAGCCTACGGACGCCCTCATCGATGAACCTGTTTCGCCAGCAATGCACGTTGACAAAACATCCGAACCACAGCCAAAGGTGGTGGACCATCCACGGGTGAAAAGACTTGAACGTAGTGTCCAGCAGCTCCATGTACTGGCCGAACAGGTCGGTGCCCACCTTGCCCGCATCGTAGTTGGACTTGACAGGCGGCATGTAAACCTCCTCGTACTTGCGTTCGGACTTATTCCAGCGCGGTTTCTTGCTGCCGTTGACCGCGGTGGGCACGCCGTGCGCCGACGACAAGAACCGGACGATCTTGTTGTCGCGCATGTACGTCGCCGTGAGCGGGATGCCGTCAACCGTCGCGTAGTAGGAGACGCACGACCCGCGCGTGTCCGCCGGCTCGTCGGCGTCCTCGACCATGCCGCGGCGGTTCCACCCGGCGGTGCCGAAGAAGTTGAATTTGAACTTCTTCGCCCCGTCGACGACCACCACCGGCGAGTTGTACAGCGAGTCCTGGCCAATCACGAAGCCCTCGCCGTACTTTGCGTGCAGCTTCGCGGCGAGGCCAAGCGTCGACTTATACGTCTCGCCGTGCTCCGCCGCCACACGCCGAGGGCAGTTGAGGACGTGCCACACCACACGCGAGCCGTCGAGGCCGTTGAAGCACTGGTTGCGCTGCGCCCACTTGGCTGGCTTGTCCTTGTTGAAGGAGACCACGACGCCCTCGCCGTTCTTGCCCCGCCACTCGGCCGACGCCTCATCGTCCGACAGCGTCTTCTTCGGGCACACCGCGTTGAGCGTGTTCTCCATCACGAGCTCGTTCAGCTCGGACGTCTTCGCCATCTTGTCGTAGCCCACAGGCGGCGGCTGCGTCATGTCGCCACGGGGAACCAGCTTCGATGGATCGCAGTCGTAGAGGCAGCGGATGCCCTGCGCAAAGTCGTTCTCCGACATGATGACAGAGATGCCGGGGCAGCCGACGAACTTGCCCTTGCGCCAGTAGTACTTGCGGGCGGGCAGGCGGCAAATGGACATCGCCGTGATGATGACGTGCAGTCGGATCAGGAAGGGCACCGACATAGAAGGTGCCTTGCGCTGCTTCCCCTTGCTGCCGTCGGCGCGATTCTTCATCTTCGGCTTGCGCGAGACGGCGTCCACGGTTCCAATCTTCAGGTCGCGGACGCGCTGTTTGCTGTATTTCGAGACGAGCTCCCAGCATCGAATGTCCCACTGCCGGTTGAACAGCTCGACATTGATCGGTCCGTGGTTAGGCAGCGGCTGCTGCAGCCCCTCCGACACACCGGGTGGCAGCTTCCGCGCGAAGACCTTTGGCTTGTGGCTTGGGACGGCGCCGGTGGCCTTTCTCCAGACGATGTTGTCGACGGCGTGGGGCGTTTTCCGCGCCTCCGCCGGCTGCCATCGGCTGCCTTTGACCGAGCCGCGAGGCTCATCGACACGCCGGCGTGCGGCTGGCGCTCGCCTCGCGTTTGCACCACCCTCCGCCTCGTCCCCATCCTCCACGTCCGAGTCGTCGTCGCTCTCGTCTGGGTCCTCGTACCAGTCTGACTTGGGATCGAGCGCCTCGTCGTCGGATATGAGCCACTGCTTCACCACTGCCAGAGGCGCGAAGGCGTCCTCGCCGTAGCCGCCCTGGTTGAACTTGATCCAGAGCATGGACTTTTGAGACTTGTGCAAGCTCTTGACTCGCGCCAAGTAGCGAGCACCCTCGACGTTTACGTTGAAGAAGCTGCACGGCACGCCAAGGTACCTCCCAACAAGCCCAGAGCGAGGATCGGGCGCAGGTCGTTGTTTTGCCTTGCGCTTCATTCGCTACCGAAGGGTGCTGCGGGAATCTAGGGAATCTGAAGGAATCTTAGATTCTCTCTCCGAGATGCGACTCCGGAGTCAAGCGGCTGGTGGTAGGCGGCACAGCACCCGGGCCGTCTGCCAAGCGAAAGCGGGTCGCCGGATCGGCCGACTTCGCTCCTTAGGCGACCGGTTTTCTCTTTCACAGAATTGGGCGAAGTTCCCATATGGGAACCACAGCCGTTTAGGGGTTTTAAACACGGGTCTCCGAGAGGGCTCCGTGTACCGGGTTTCCCCTTAACTGCAGAACGCCCCCTCTACTCGGAGCTAGTCGTGGACACACGGACACTACGACACCACCCGTCACGTACACACACAACTGTCTATCAATGCGATGGCGGCGGAGCGGCACATCCCAAAGTGCACCTCCATCCACGCGAAGCCGAAGATGCTGACCCGCGGCGGCGGCGCCGGCATCCACTCCGCCAGCCGTGCCCGTGCGAGTGACGCGGGAGGCGGGTGGAGTTAGCGGCGCGAGAGAGGCGACCGAGTTGTGTGAATTGGGTGGCGTTGTCTGATTTATGTCCTGATGATGTGTTTCTTCGTTGCGCCCCGCTCAAAAACGTTGTGTGTGTGTGTGTGTGTGTGTGTGTGTGTGTGTGTGTGTGTGTGTGTGAGTGTGAGTGAGTGTGTGTGTGAGTGTGTGTGTGTGTGTGGAGGGAAAGCAGAAAAAAATGCGCGTTCCGAAGGGGTGTCCAGTGAGGGAGGGCGAGACGATCGAGGGGGTCCCGATGCGGAATCGACCCCACAAAGAACCCTGCACAAAGATCGCAAGGGCGGGGACCTGTTCTTTTTTACCCACCTCACAGTAGAGAGGCTTAATCATTCATTTCTTTATTTATCCGCCAGTGCTCAAGGGGTGTCCCGCCAGACGCTCCACACCACCCGGCCGACCCTGTCTACTGCTGTCCCTCTGCCACGCTCCTGCTCCTACTCCTACTGCTACATTGTGTTCGATGCTCCGCGCCCCTGCTGCCCTTCGCATTCGCCCTCGACGGTGCCGGTCCCTCTCCTCGGCCGCAGACCCATATGCCATCCTCCGTGTCGAGCGAGGAGCCACCAGCTTCCAGATCAAAGAGGCGTACCGCAGAATGGCGCTCAAGACGCATCCAGACCACAACCGGAGCAGCCCGGAGGAGGCCGAGCGGCAGTTCAAATCAGTGACAGAGGCTTACCGACGCATATCTGTCGAGGGGCCTCAGGCGTCTTTGGCGATGGGGACGGTTGGCTGCCGCGACGTAGGCTGCGCGGCGAACTGGCGACCCGCCGGAGCCGCCGCCTTTGTTTGGAACGACAGCATGCTTCCGGAGCTATTTGCTCTCCTCCTGAGCGAGAGTGGGGACGTGCGGCTGACGCAGCTGTACCAGCAGTACGTCGACAACGCGCTGTCACGCCGCGACACGTTGCTCTCTGTGCGCAACTTTGCGTCGCGCGACGACTTCCGGCGCGCCCTCAGCACACTTGCGGCCAGATACGCGCGCGAGGGCCCACAGGCCGTGTTTGTTCACCGTGTGCGCGCCAGCATCAGCAGCTGCGACGGCTGGGGCGGCTGGGGCGGAGGTGCAGGCGCATCTGAGGTGTGGTACACCTGTGATTGAATAGTTCAATAGAGAGACGCAGAGACGCGCGTGTGTGCATTGTAACTCTAAATTGTAATCTACTACGGCGCACACGGCACGCACGACGCAGCGTGTCCAGCGCGAGTGCCGCGCGCGGACTCAGTAGTCAGATCTCACGCGCAGAATAGCTCTCTCTGTGTGGCGTGAGATGAAACGTAGCCGGGTCCCGGAGGGAGAGCTAGCAACTCAGAGTTCGCACGCGCGTGCCCCACCGTCATCGATAGACGTACTCGGCGGCGATGTTTGCCGCGATGGCCGTCTCCCACTTGTTGCCATTCTCCAGCAGCTTCTGCTTATCGTAAAGCAGCTCCTACAGCCGAGGTGTCCGAGATGTGCCCGCCGAGGATCCCCCGAGAGACCACGCCTTCAGATGGGCTCGCTCCTCGTGCGTCTCGGTCGCGTACTCAAAGTTCGGGCCCTCAACGATGGCGTCGACGGGGCACGCCTAGGGTTTTTCAGGGCAAGGCGAACGCCTCCACGCGCTGGAGCTGAAAGTGGTAATCTCCCGCATCTCTCTTGAGATGGGCGGCGAGCCTCTTGGCAGAAGCCGCAGTAGATGCACTTGGTCATGTCGATGTCGTACCGCGTCGTGCGGCGCGCGCCATCCGGCCGCACCTCCGCCTCGATCGTGATTGCCTGCGCCGGGCAGATCGCCTCGCACAGCTTGCAGGCGATGCAGCGCTCGTCGCCGGTCGCGTAGCGGCGCAACGCGTGCTCCCCGCGGAAGCGCGGCGAGAGGGCGCCTGGGGTCGGGCAGGAGCGTCACCCAGCAAGGCTCGATGCGCGAGCGCGCGGCATGGGGGAGGGCTGGGAGCGAGCGCGCCCTTCTCCATGGGGTAGTTTATCGTCACCTTCTCCTTCCAGAACATCAGGAAGGTCAGCGACATCGTCCGGCACAGCTCCGTGATCCACAGCGACTGCACGGAGCCGGTCAGCACCGAGCTTAGGCTCGCCGTGCCCATGTCAGAATGCTCTGGAGGCGCGGCATCCCCAGACCCGTGCCACCAGTTCTCAGGGAGGCCGATGCTGGGCCCTGACGGCGACGGCGGGCTCTGCAGTGCGTAAGCGGCGGCGGTGCTCTCCTTTGCGAAGCGCTCGGCAGCTGCAGACGGCCCGCCAAACTGGCCTGAAATTGGCGTAACGGCGGTCGCCTCGCCGCCGCCGTCCCACAGATTTTTGGCCCGAGTGGAGCCGCCGCCCGGAGCCTGCAGGCACAGTGGCCTCGTGCCGAGCGCCGGCAGCTGACGAGGCGCGGAGCGGAAGGCGAGCAGGGCGACTTTACGATGCGCCAAGGCGAACAGGGCGGCTTTGCGATGCGCCATCAAGGCAGTGCCGCGGTGGTGTCTGGTTGGGCGGTGGCAGCGTCCAGAAAAAGAATTTAAACAAAACAACTCTCTCTCACAGCAGACAGGCTCGACACAGGTGCGAACTGGCGCGTGCTAGTACTATCACCGGCACACCAAAAGAAAAAAAATGTTCTTCGTGCAGGGGTCCTAGAGGAATCCTCGGACGACCCCTGACGTTGCGAGCGGCACTGCGAGCACGCTGCATGGACACAGACATAGACACACACACTGCGCTCCCCTCAGTGTGAGTGAGTATTCTTGATACGAAACCACGACGACACACACCAGTCGACTCGTATCGCTATCGGTTGCCTCCATGAACGGCGGAGCTATTCTCGCGCCCACACCACACCTGGCTCCAACGTGGACACGCCCATAGCTGGGGACACTACTAGGTCATGCATGGCATCAGAAGTTTTATCTCTGGGCCCCGAAACGCATCTCTAGCAGCGTCGTTACGCATGCGCCCTCCTGGGCGCATGCGCCTCACATCTCGCCAGAGCATAAGCCCTTGGTGTGCGACGAGACGAGTTTTTCGCCATCGCCGCGAGCAGCAAGCCGCCCGCCGCAAACAGCCGGAGGCATCGCCACGGCACTGACTGCGCCGCGATCCCGCACCCGTCGACGAAGCTCCCCCCGCGGAAGACCACAGGAGGGCTCGGAACCGCGGCACCGGTCCGCGCCGCCAGCGGGGCGAGAGCACCAGCCTTCAACCTGCCGACATGGCAGTTGCGACGGCGCTTTCACACACACACACACACACACACACACGCTCCCCTCAGCGGGCAGGGAGACGCGAGCCCGACGGAGTCCGGTGGCGGGGGCCCACGCAGCCAGCCCCTGCACTGACATGGTTGGTGCTAGCCGCCGCCGCCGCTCGCTCTCGAATGGCGTCGCGCAACTGCCCGTTCCCGGAGCGCAGAGCGCGATTTTGGTGGCCAGGGCCTTGCCTGAAGGGGGGCGGGGCAAGGGGGGAGAAGATGAGGACGTCACCGAGCGGGTGGAGCTGCCGGGAAGGTGGTGGGCCGGGCATGGAGGCACCTCAAATAGGAGCGAGTAGCGGGAAGACCGCCTGCTACTCCGGCGGGAGAGTGCTCCCCCGCCGCCCCCTGGGTCACCCCGAGTAACCTCGCAGCCCACGCCGTATACTCGCCGTAAGGCGCTGCTGTCGGGGGAATGTCGGGGGCGTGCAAAGCCGCGATGCCTTCTCCATGTCGTGCTCCGCTGGTAGCACGGCTCGTGCTTTGATTCTCGCCGGCCGATGAGGTGAAGCGATGGCAATCACCAGGAAAGAGTGCGCCAATGCCCGCTGCGGCGCCTTGCCGGCGAAGCCCCCAAAATCTTCCGCCGGAGGTGCAAATGACGGCTGGCCGGGTGGTCAAGAAGCCAGTCGCTTCTAGTTGTTGAAGCCATGGCACACTTGGGGTAGTCTGGGGGGGAGGGGAGGGGGGGGGGGGTCTTCCCCACTGGCGGCGCCTTGCCGGCGAAGCCCCCGTTGTCGTCCCGGAGGCGCAAGCGGCTGGCCGGATCACCATCTCTCAAGGCCCGAGCTTTACGCCGGCGGAGAGAAGAGCCGCAGCCATGGCACTCGGGCAGCCGGGGGTCCGCCGATGGCCGCTGGCGGCGCCGTGGCGGCGAGGGCCCGTCGTCATCGCCCCGGAGGCGCGGCGGCGGCCGGGCCGCGGGGGCCCGCGGGCGGGCGCGGTCGCGGGAGCACGGGGAGTGGATGGTCGAAGGGACGGCAGAGTTTACCTGAGAGAGGTTTGCACATCGCGCTCGCGGCGTAGCTGTGGGCGCGGTCGACCCAGCCACATGTTGAAAAATGCACGCCGTTTACAAAATGAACTCTCCTGCGGGAGCGGGAGGCGGCGGCGGACGAGGCGGCGGCGACGGGTCCTCCTCCATCCGATCGAGTGCGTCGGTCCGCTGCGCCTTGCCGGGCGGCGGCAAGCCTAAATTAGCGCCCGGCCTCGACACCGTCGCCCAGCCGCCGACAGCGGGGCGCTTGCCGTCGGGACGCGCAGTCTCGACAGCGGAGCGCGTGCTTCTTGCCGGCGGAGCAGCATGCTCCTCAGCAGCGAGCGCAGAAGCTTTCTTGCGTACCGCCGCCGCGCAGTCCTTATGGATGCGCGTCGACGCCGGAGACGCCGGACCGAGCGCTTCTCCTCGCTCTAGAGCCACGGCGGGCAGCCCGTTGGCCGCCTCACCGCCCTTGCGAGACCAGGTCGTGGTCCCGCACCACCAACAGCCGTCCATCTGAGCGGCGACGGAGGCCAAGCCCGACGTCTGCGCTTTAGCCGATCACCTGGCCGCCCGCGACGAGCCGCCAGTCGGCGTGGCGGCGAGGAAGGGAGCGAGAGCACCGCCAGTGCCGCCGGCACCCGTGGCCTGGCCTGCTGAATGCTCATTCACAGCGATGCCTGAGGCGAAGTGGAATTCGAAATGCACGCCCGATTCGCGGCAAGGGCTGGTTCCGCTAGCCGATACGAGGAGCGTAGAATGCTGTTTTACTTTGGTCTCCGCGCAACAGCGCCGTCGCCGCTGTCCGTGCCTGCCACGAGCGGCCGCAGGCGGCTCTGCAGTGTCATGGATGGCAGCGATCGCGAGCCAGCCTCGGGGCCTTTGCCCAGTTGGGAGGCGCTGTCAGACGCGCTGTCGGATGCAAGCTGGGACCTCTTCGTGATGCCCGGCGAGCACGCCAACTCACGGTACGACCGCCCGCATGAGCCTCTGGAGGCGAGCGGTCTGCTGGAGGAGGAGGAGGCCCGCCCGTATGACTGGGACGGGCAGACAGAGGACGAGGAGCGTAGATGCGGAGTACGGATCGCTGCACACCACTCCAGCCGCCGCCACGCGTCTCATTTCACCATATCCAGGGCCCGGATCGCACGCACACGGACAGTGCGAGAGACAGTGGGCAGACAACCATAGTCGACTAGTTCAGTCAGCCATACGGTTCACTCTTCAGGACGAGGAGGCTCTCCGTCTCCCAAAGGGCCGCGCCGCGGAGCGCCTCGCGGCGCCCGCCTCCAAGCCGCGCGGGCTGTGGTTCGAGAGGCGCGGCCGTGACATCGCCGGCGACATCGAGGTGCTTAGCCGGGAGTGGACGCGGCTGTGGGTCATCTCTGTCGCCGTGTCGCTCTGCATACTGGCGGCAGACTCGCAGGCCGAGACGCCTTGCTAGCCGTAAGCCCTAGCCACTCTCCCAGGCGCCGCCCCCCCGCAGACTAGCGCCGCTCCGCCCCGCACACCACCTCTCCTCAGCCCCTCCCCCCTCTTCCGCAGGCTAATTTGGACGCGGCCGGCCCGCCCGGCGACGCGAGCGGCGGCACGCGGCAGGAGCAGTTCATCCGACGGCGAGTGGAGGAGAGGCTCACCGCTGAGGTTTTGCGGGCGGACGAGCAGGCGAGGGGGGGCGGCGCCGTGAGGTGACGGATCAGCGAGAGTCTCGACAGAAACGGGAGACAGATCTAGTGTCTTGAGGCAGAGAGCTCGTGACCGTGTGTCCCACCTAATGTGCGCCCCAACCAGCAGTCCTGAGCGTACACAAACACCATGCCTGGGCTACCGAACAGTACAATATGGAAGTAATATTGCTTACCTCGCGTGACGCGTCGCGAGCGGCGCGGTCATGGCACATCCACATGCGACATGGGCGTGCGCGCACGCGAGACACTAAACTAGAAGCCACTCGCTTCGCCCACGGCCGCGGCCATCGATCGACGCCAGCACTAAAACCCAAACGGGTTTGCGTCCTCAAGTGGGCGCGCCAGCTCCGAGCCCATGCGTGACATCGTCTTGTCAGACATCAGGCTTTTGAAGCCGCTGCCCATATCGCTCGAGATGCAGACTGCTTGCTGGAGATGCGCGAAGTCGGGATCGAGGACCGCATCCAAGCAGAACGCCGCCAGGTCGGCACGGTTGATGGCACCTGCCTCGCCATCGATCACGTTCACGATGCCGGTCGGAGCGCCCTGCTTGAGGCCGCCGGGGCGCACGATACAGAACTCAAGGTCGGCGCCGGGCCCGTCCAAGAAGAGGCCCTCCTGCGCATTCTTGTCGTCCATGATTTTCTGCATCATCGTCTTCATCAGGAGCTTGAAGGTCCATGGCGCCTGGTCCATGGAGTCGCCCGCCCCAACAGTCGAAACAACGCAGATGCGCTTGACGCCGTGCGCTTTGCACGCCGCAATTATGTGGGTCGTGCCATCGAAAAGCAGCGTCGGCCCGACCTCCCGTGTCTTGCCACCGAGCGCGACGACCACGCCCGTGATATTGTTGCCATCGAAGACGTCATCCACATCCGCGCGGTTGAGCACCGAACCCTCCGTCCTTACCATCTTGTCGTTCATATAGGGGCTGAAATTGTGCATCGACCCCTTGCGGAGGTCCATCTCGGCATGGTCTCGTGGCGCCGTCAACCGGATTCGATCGCGGACTAGGCAGCTGACCTCCTCGCCGCGCTCCAGCGCCTGAAGCACCACCTCGCTGCCAGTGCGACCCGACGCACCAAAGACTGCTATTGTACTCACAGCGTCTGCTGCCCGCCGCGAGCGGCCGGCAAGGGCGAGCGGGTGCGTGGCGTGAGGAACGAGGAATGCTGCGGCGCTGGCGGAGGCGGCGAGTAGCAGGCTCATCGTGCACTCTCCAACGATGCTGCCGCGATGCGGAGAGAGCTCTAGGAAACTGCCCGGGGCTGTCAGTCAGTCAGTCAGTGTTACACACGTCCTAGCATGGACGACGGGGCACACGCACTCGCGGAACACAGGGCATTACACACGAGGCGTTGTGTGCGTTCTCAGGGAAAGGCATCACCACAGACAAAAGTATAGTCAGAGGGGCAGCAGTGGGGACCCCCACTCACGACCCCAACTGCCCGGGGCCCGGGAGGGAAAAGAAGAATTCTTGGGAAAGAATTTTGCAACAAAACTCTAAATTGGGCACGGGACTGGCACGCACTGGCACTAACACAAGGCAAAAGAATTTTACAACAAAAGGCGGTCGCACGACACGATTCACGCGACAGGCAGGCGAGGCGCGGGCGACAGCTTCCTCAGAAAGAAGCCGTCGCCCGCACCACAGGAGCAGTCACACCACTCCCGCTCCGGCGCCCACCCACTCCCCACCCCAGGCAAAAGAATCCGCACAGCCCGATTCCGCGACAGACAAGGCGGGGCGACGGCTTCACCACAGGAGCAGTCACACGACTCCCACTCCGGCGCCCGCCCTACCCCACCCCAACATCCCCACCGCACGACCCGGCCCCACCCCGACCCGAGCAACCCCGCCCCAACCCGACCCGACCCGACCCACTCCGCTCCGCTCCGCCCCGCCCCACCGCACCGCAAGAGAGAGATCTCCTGCGGGGCGCAGGTTGAATATGAAACTAATTGTGCCTCCTACCACCTACCGATACCGAACAATGCAGGCTCAGAAAGGAAAGACAAACACTCATGGTCCGGCCTAAAAAAGAATTTTACAAAAAAAGAATACAAGGTAAGCGAAGTAAATCGCGCCAGAACTTCTCTGCGACTTGTTTGTTCGAAGAAGAGCGCCGGGCTTGGCGAGCTGCTGGGCCCTCCCCAGAGCTGCCCACGATGCGACGGCTCCGCACCTTGCCATGGCTGGCACTCCTCGGAGTGCTCAGGGTGGCTGCAGGCGACGCCTCACTCGACGATAGCACTGCCGTGACCGAGAGCGCTACCCCGGCTTATGCCATCGATGACGCAGCGTATGGGAGTGATGGGCTCGAGCGCTACATCGACGAATCGTGCTCGGTCTAGATGCGCCAGAGATGCGTGACGCAGGGTCTCGATCCACCCGCACGCACGTTTTGTGAAGTGGCCCTCTCCACGCCGCAGGTATTACGAACTCCAGTCCTTTTGGAGCAACTACTGCGCACAAGGTTGCGACCCATCGTACGTCGGTGACGGGGAGTGCGATGAGACCTGCAACAACGAAGAGTGCGACTGGGACGAGAACGACTGCTTCCACGGCTACGGTGCCCACCGCCATTTGCACCCACCCCTCGGCTTGCATTTGACGGCTGCGGCTCCTTCACAGGTGAGTGTTACACCCTTTCCGACGGCTCGGACTACCGGGGAGAGGTCAGCACAACGGAGGACGGGGTCACGTGTCAGTACTGGTCTCGGCTCTGGCCACACACGCACGACAAGACCGTGTACAACTACCCCAAGGCTGGGCTCGGCGGCCACAATTTCTGCCGCAACCCCGATGGGGAGGCAAAGCCGTGGTGCTCGTCCTCCTCGTCTTGTTCTGCCGCAGGCCCGCGTCTAACTGAGGGGAGACTGCTCAGCTGAGAGCGGGCGAGGAGACCGGGGGACGGGCGAGGGGCAGAAATCGGCGCCACCCAGAGCGTGCACCAGTCGCACGCGCCAGCCCACCATGGCGTCGGGGATGGCGTCGCCGTCCGTGTCGACGGTGCCCTCCTCGGCGTCCATGATGCCGTCGCCGTCCGAGTCGGGGTCGAGGTCGTCGGGGATGCCGTCGCTGTCCGTGTCCGCCGTGCCCTCGACGGCGTCGGGGATGCCGTCGCCGTCCGAGTCGGTGTCCGCCGCGTTGGGGACGCCGTCGCTGTCGGTGTCGGCGGTATTGGACTCCATCGCGTCGGGGATGTTGTCGCCATCGGCGTCGCCGGTGCCCTCTGTTGCGTCGGGGATGCCGTCGCTGTCAGAGTCGTCCTCTGCAAAGGTTATGCCTCCGCTATGCGCGTCCGTGTCGACGGTGCCCTCCTCGGCGTCCATGATGCCATCGCCGTCCGAGTCGGGGTCGAGGTCGTCGGGGATGCCGTCGCTGTCCGTGTCCGCCGTGCCCTCGACGGCATCCGGGATGCCGTCGCCGTCCGAGTCGGTGTCCGCCGCGTTGGACACGCCGTCGCTGTCTTCGTCTGCCGTCGCAGACTCAATCGCGTCTGGGATGTTGTCGCCATCGGCGTCGGCGGTGTTGGACTCCTTGGCGTCGGGGATGCCGTCGCCGTCCGTGTCGACGGTGCCCTCCTCGGCGTCCATGATGCCGTCGCCGTCCGAGTCGGGGTCGAGGTCGTCGGGGATGCCGTCGCTGTCCGTGTCCGCGGTGCCCTCGACGGCGTCGGGGAGGGTAACTGGCGTCACATCGCTGGGTGACAGAGTCGCCCGCGTTGGACTCAGCTGCGCTACGGCGAGCACTTGCATGGCGCAACCAGCGGCTGCACACGTATCTTGCCGCTGACTTTACACGCCAGCGCCCACGTCACCGCCGGCAAAGCACTGGGGGGACACGAATCGGCCGCGGGGCGTAGTCGCGAGCGGCGGACGTTTTTGGGCGGATGCGCCCGGGTTTGGATAATCCATCGCTTCCATTTGTTTTTCTTTAAATTCTTTACAACTACAGGATTGAGGGCTTGCTCAGTGAGGCCAAAGTGAGTTTTACGGGACACGAGGAGGCACGCGGACCGACTCGTCGGTGACTCTGCTGCACGCCGTTTCAGAATTTTTCTCAGCGTGAGCGAGACGTGGAAGAGTGCCACCGTCGGGTAGGACGGGTCGGCCCGGAGTATCAGAGTAGCCGTCGTGGTCACGGCGAGCAGTGCCGGCCACTCCGGCGCCGCGTCGGCAACATGGGAGCATGTCCACCGCCACTTCGCGGTCACAGCGCTGTTGTCGCCCAAAAGCAAAACGCCGCCTATCCCTCTGGCGGGCCAAAGTCGCCTCGCATGTCGATTTTGACTCGATGGGCGCATGGAGGCATCACGTGTCTCCATGCGCCCGTCAAGTCGGAGCCAGTCTGCGGCGACCACAGCGCTCACCGCAGGGATAGGCGAGCTCTACAGAGTCAAGCGATTGCGCGAAATCCCACAGTGGTGGATTTTGGGGCGCTGTCCACCCCCTAGTGAGTATGAGTAAGTAGGAACTTCAGTACACTCCACGCTCGCGGGGCTAGCGGTACCGGTAGCGCGTCACACCCGAACGACATCAATCCTCGCGCTCTAACCAACCGTCTCACACACTCACTTAATCTTAAACGCTACGCTTTACCCAACGCCAATGCGGCCAAACCCAAAGGATAAGGGGGTCGACGACCGGCTCCGGGGGCGACGCGGTTCCCTAGCGCCGTACACGTGTCGTCATGTTATTGTCTGTGTGACGCGTCACCGTCAGCCCATAACGTAGACAGAGAGGGCATCCACGCGGCTGTACGCATGTAGCTTAGAGCTAAGGCACGCCTGACCCTCCCTCCACCATGACATGCGTGCGTGTCAAAACTATCAGGCGTCGATCAGCTCAACAAACAATGCCCCAATGGATCAGCTCAACAAACAATGCCCCAATGCCGCGACGGGCGCGCGGGCGATGGAGTTGCACAGCCCCTCGCCGAGGTCGGCGCGCGCGCTCCTCGCCGCGACCAGCGCGAGCGCAACCCTCGCCGCCCGCTGCTGCCGGCGAGTGCTGGCCGCGGCCCTGACCCTCCGGCTTGCCGCTTCACCTGCCGCTTCACGTGCCGCTTCACTCGCCGCATCGCCGCTCGTCGTCGCGATCGCCTGCCCGCCGCCGCCGCCGACTCCACCTCCCGCCTCGCCGCCCTGCTCTTTGCCGCCCGCGCCGCCGCCCGCCCCACCGCCGCCCGCCCCACCGCCGCCCGCCCCACCGCCGCCCGCCCCACCGCCGCCCTCCTCACCGCCGCCCGCCCCACCGCCGCCCTCCTCGCCGCCGCCCGCCTCACCGCCCGCCCCACCGCCGCTCTCGCTGCCGCCCGCCTCGCCGCCCACCCCAGCACCGCCGCCCGCCTCGCCGGACGGGGTGCGGTGCTGCAGCAGCGTCAAGGGCGACGCCAGCTCGACCAGCTCCAGCGCGCACAGGTCGTCGTCGAGCCTCTTGGCGTCGGGGTCGGCGCCCTCCTGCAGCAGCCGCAGGATCACCTCGACGTGCGCGTCCGTCTCCAGCGCCGCCGCCGCGCATAGCAGCGGCGTGAGGCCCGCGTGGTCGGTCGCGTTGACGGCGCACCCCGCGCCGAGGAGATACGACACGACCTGCGGGTGACCGCCGCGGCTTGCGAGGTGCAGCGCGGTGCTGCCGTCCGAGCAGCAGCAGAGCGCCTATTCCCCGAGATTCCCCGAGATTCCCCGAGATTCCCCGAGATTCCCCGAGGTTGCCATCCGAGCAGCAGCACAGCGCCTCCGCGCCGGCGGAGACGAGGAGGCGCACCACCTGTGGCGATTCGGCTGGTGATTCGGCTGGTGAGGTAACGTCCTCCACACACACTCGAGGGGGTGGGGGATCAAAGGGCCTTCTCGCAAGGCTCCACTCCCAGACAGGCAGGTCGAGCAGGCAGGCAACACCCCCCAGTGCACATTCAAAGTCAGAGTGCGACGCCCGGCGCACGGACAGTGTGGAGTACCAGAGGTCTGTCGAGGACTGGTGGCGTCCCTCGCCAGGCTCCCTAGCTCAACCGACGACTCTCGTGCCTCGCCTCGGGAGTTACGGCCGATCGTCCTCCCTCTCGCCCGATCGCGCCATGCCTCTCCGTCTCGCCAGATCTCGCCATGACCTCGAGATGCCCGTGCTCGGCAGCGAGGACGACCCCACTCACGCCGTCGTGGCTCCGCGCGTCCGGCTCCGCGCCCGCCTCGAGCAGCAAGCTGACAATCTCGGCGTGGCCTGAGGCGAGGGAAGGGAAGGTGCACTTCTCCACACACACGCGAGGCGGTGGGGCAAGGGGGGAGCAGGGGGGAGCAGGGGGGGAGGAGGAGAGGAGGAGGAGAGGAGAAGCTCCGAGCCTGCGGGAGGGACGGCGAGATCTGGCCCCAAGGTGTGTGGGGAGGCACATGGCGAGATCTGGGGAGATCCGGGGAGATATGGGCGCGGCCGGGGGACTGCGGTGCCGGGAGAGATGACCACGGCCTCTGCCGGCGCGCTCAGCCCGGTGCTAAGATCGGAAGTGCCGGCAGCCTCCTCCGCCGCCCCTTCCGCCGCCCCTTCCGCCGCCCCTGCCGCCGCCCCTGCCGCCGCCCCTTCCGCCGCCCTTGCCGCCGCCCTTGCCGCCGCACCTGCCGCCGGCGGCGGCGGCGGCACGGCGCGACGTGCCAGCGGCTCGCTCATGGCGCCGCGCGGGGGCACTGTCACCGCACCTCCACCGCCGACCGACGCCTCGCCCCGCCGCAGCGCGAAGGACTGCCTCCGCTGCATCTCCACCGCCTCGGTGACGACCTCGAAGACCGTCGGCAGCTTCGCGCCGTGCCTGCAGAGCAGGTAAGGTAAGGTAAGGTAAACTTCTCCACACACACGAGGTGGTGGGGCAAGGGGGGGGCGACCCTCGCGTCTCCACGTCTAACGACAGGAGCCCCACGGCATTCAAAGTGCAAGGCCCAGTGCGCGTGGGTGAGCGGTGTGTGTGTGTGTGTGCGTGTGTGTGTGTGACCTGCGGAGCAGCCGCCGTATGCGCAGCGCGTCGCCCGCCTTCGCGGCGCCGAGCAAGGTGAGCGAAGCGGCGGTCAGCTGCCACCGCCGCTTCGGCGTGTGGATCGAGAGGCCCGGCACGTACGGCGTCTCGCGTGCCAGCTCTTGGCGGAGGACGCCCCACAGCCTGCCGACTTCGCCGAGCGCCGACTCGATCGGCGACACGGGGCTCCCTCGGCCACTGAGGCGGCCGGGCGACAAGCCGCCGGGAGAGACGCGGCCGAGCCGGTCGCCGTCGGGCGGCGTCCCAGCTCCGGCGCGCAGCCGCCTCTCCGCGCGCAGCACGCGCTTGGACTTGCCCGAGCGGCCTGTGCTCACGCGTCCCGTTCGCTGCGTTCCTTCGTGCACAACAGCACCGTCGCCGCCATGAAGCTGCTCGGGCGGGACTCCCACGCCGGAGCTGGGCGGCTCAGGGTCCTCTGGCAGCCTCTTGGGCGATTCGGGCGTGTCCGGGAGGCTGTTCAAGTCAGATCGCGAGCTGCTCGAGCGCCGCATCAATGTGACTGAAGCGCCAAGAAAAAGAATCGATCGCAGATCTTTGTGAGTGGTCCAGGCGTAGTCCGACGGGTAGGGGGTCTGTGCCCGGGCGGTGTCCGGTGCGGAGTCTCTCTCTGATCCCGCCTGTGCTGTTGGGTGCGAGAGGTCGTGGAAGCTTCGATCCCAAGGGGGGGAGCTGATCCCACTCGGTAACCAACTCTCAGGGGCAGTAGGTGGGCGAGCCTCGAGCGCGCTCATCTCGATCGTCAAGGCGTCGCTACGCTACGCCGTCTCTGAGGAGTGCATGGCAGCGACACTGCAGCCGGGCTCGTCGCTCGTCGGGCTCGCGTCGGGCTACTGCCTCTACTCCTCCTCCACCTTCTTCGCCCTCACGCTCGGTGCCGGCGTGCAGATCTTCACGCTTGACCCGCACATCGGCGAGTGTGTACTGACGCAACCGAACGTGGCGGTGCCGCAGCGAGGCGCGATCTACTCGCTCAACGAGGCGATCTACTCGCTCAACGTGGGACGCGCCGCTGCGGACGTACATCGAGGACCTGCAGGACGGCAACGGAGAGAGCGGCGAGCGCTACACCGCGAGGTACATTGGGTCGGTGGTTGGCGACGTGCACCGGACGCTGCTCTACGGAGGCATCTTTGGCTACCCCGCAGACTCAAAGAATGCAAACGGCAAGCTTCGCCTGCTGTACGAGGCGGCGCCGATGGCATTCCTGGAACCTTCCTGCAGGCGGGTGGCCTCGCCTTGACCGGCAAGACGCGCATCATGGACCTGGTCCCGCAGAGCGTGCACCAGCGGGTGCCTGTGCTGCTCGGCTCTCCGGACGACGTGCGCGAGATGAGGAAGTACTACGACGCTTTCACGGGCTCGAAGGAGATGGAGGGGGGGGAGGCGCGCCGCATTCGCGAGCGCTGCTTCACGCGGCTGACGCCGGGCCAGCTGCTCGACACCACAATTGACAAGGTGTGAGAGGGATAGCCTGGCCCCTGCCCCACCCACTAGCGCGTGGAGGAATGTACCTCTCCCCCTCCCACCTCACCCCACCCCACCATTCCCTTTCAAGGTGCCCGACTCGGTGGCCATTGACTCGACGGGCGACGGCACCGTCGACTCGGTGGTGCCGATCGGCGAGGCCCCTCCCGGTTCGCTGCCGGACGACGTGGAGGTGTGAGACCAATTCCCTGTCGGGCGGCCGGAGGGGGGGCCGCGCGGGTCCCAACGAGCGAGCCGGATTGTGCACACTGATCACTGTGTACGCGCGCGTGCATCGTGGAGAGTGGCCGCGCCTGTTTGAATCTACAACAAGTATGTAGTACACAGCAGTCCGCTCAGTCACGGAGTCAGCGTCCGGAATAGACAACGCACACTGTGGAGCGCACGCAGACACATGGAGGGGGCTCCGGACGGACGGACTTGGCTCTTGGGTAACGCACGCGCGCTTGACAATCCTCAACCCACGCCCCGCAACAGTACGTGCTCGTCTACAGACGTTCATGCGACCGGTGGGAGTACGATAATGGACTCCTCGGCGCCGCCTCCTCCGTTTCGAGCTATTCGCCGAGGTCATACTAGCGCTTCTCCCCCACCCCCTCCTCAAAGAGCACACACGTCGATCAGGGGGCCGCCGGCGGCGGCGGAGACGGGGGAGGCACCAGGGCCGCCAGAGCGAGCACCTTGTCCACGACGTGGATCACGCCGTTGCTGGTCTGGACGTCGGCGGAGATCACGGTGGAAGGGCCGCCGAGGATACTGGGCGTGACGAGGACGGAGCCGGTCGAGCCGTCGACCGTGATGTCCTCTCCGTTCAGCGTGGTTTGGGCGGAGTTCTCGAGCGTCAGCGCGACTGACGCTGGGACCTCGGAGCCGAGGGCGTGCTTCTGGAGGAGGGCGGTGACGGTTGCATCGTCCGCGAGCACGCTTTGGAGGAAGGTCTGGTCGAGGGCAGCAAACGCGCCGTTCGTTGGGGCAAAGACGGTGTAGGACCCGGAGTTCGAGAGCGCGTCAGCCACCGCAGAAGACGCTCCGACCGCGGCGCAGAGCGTGCCGACGGTGGCGTCGAGGCTAGGGTCGCAGGCGACCTGGGCGATGGACATGTAGGACCACGTCGCGATCACCTTGTTGATCTCGTGGATCACGCTACCACCGTTGTCGGCCTCGGCGAGGTTGGGGGCGACCACCTCAGCAGATCCTCCAACGATGGCGGGCGTGATGGTGACGGGCCCGGCGGTGCCGTTGCCGTCGACAACGATCTTCTCCGCGATGCTGTTGGTGGAGGCCAGGGTGTCGACAGGCTCGTTGACGAGGTTCAGCGCGTCCGCCGCCGGCACCTTGGACCCGAGGGTGTGCTTCAGCAGGAGGTTTGTGAGTGCGGGCTGGTTCTCGGGCTTGAGCAGGTCGGCGAGCGCTCCGTCTGGAAGGGCATCAAACGCGTCGTTGTTCGGAGCAAAGACCGTGTAGGTGCCCGCGGCGGAGAGCGCGGCGAGGACCGTGGGAGACGCAGCGATCGCGGCACAGAGCGTGGAGAACTGCGCCGGGGCGTTCGTGCCGCAGGCGACGTCGGCGATGGTGGGCGGCGGCGGCGAAGACGGGGGAGGCACCGGCGGTGGCGGAGACGGGGGAGGCACCAGGGCCGCCAGAGCGAGCACCTTGTCCACGACGTGGATCACGCCGTTGCTGGTCTGGACGTCGGCGGAGATCACGGTGGAAGGGCCGCCGAGGATACTGGGCGTGACGAGGACGGAGCCGGTCGAGCCGTCGACCGTGATGTCCTCTCCGTTCAGCGTGGTTTGGGCGGAGTTCTCGAGCGTCAGCGCGACTGACGCTGGGACCACGGAGCCGAGGGCGTGCTTCTGGAGGAGGGCGGTGACGGTTGCATCGTCCGCGAGCACGCTTTGGAGGAAGGTCTGGTCGAGGGCAGCAAACGCGCCGTTCGTTGGGGCAAAGACGGTGTAGGACCCGGAGTTCGAGAGCGCGTCAGCCACCGCAGAAGACGCTCCGACCGCGGCGCAGAGCGTGCCGACGGTGGCGTCGAGGCTAGGGTCGCAGGCGACCTGGGCGATGGACATGTAGGACCACGTCGCGATCACCTTGTTGATCTCGTGGATCACGCTATTGCCGTTGTCGGCCTCGGCGAGGTTGGGGGCGACCACCTCAGCAGATCCTCCAACGATGGCGGGCGTGATGGTGACGGGCCCGGCGGTGCCGTTGCCGTCGACAACGATCTTCTCCGCGATGCTGTTGGTGGAGGCCAGGGTGTCGACAGGCTCGTTGACGAGGTTCAGCGCGTCCGCCGCCGGCACCTTGGACCCGAGGGTGTGCTTCAGCAGGAGGTTTGTGAGTGCGGGCTGGTTCTCGGGCTTGAGCAGGTCGGCGAGCGCTCCGTCTGGAAGGGCATCAAACGCGTCGTTGTTCGGAGCAAAGACCGTGTAGGTGCCCGCGGCGGAGAGCGCGGCGAGGACCGTGGGAGACGCAGCGATCGCGGTACAGAGCGTGGAGAACTGCGCCGGGGCGTTCGTGCCGCAGGCGACGTCGGCGATGGTGGAGTACGTGGAGATCGTGGAGTCCTCCTTCTTGTTCAGTCCGACACCGAGACCGACACCGAGGCCGAGAGCCAGTGCAAGCGTGACGATCACGATGGCGATGATCCATGTGTTGGAGCGCGCCTGTGAGAGGGCCGAGTGCGTGAGAGCCAGTGCAAGGCGCGACGATCACGATGGCGAGGATCCATGTGTTGGAGCTGTGCGAGGGCGAGCGCGTGAGGAGAGGAGAGAGAGGGAGGCGTCTGGGCTGGTGGGAGCGCACCTTGGGCGGCAGTCCCTTCTCGAGGTCGGCTGCGCGGCACATGGAAAAAGGAAGAAGTAGGGACTCGGTGGTCGGGCTCGGCGGAGAAACGGCGAGGAAAACACCGAAGACACGCGCCAAAATAGGCGGACCGTGTGTGAAAAACGGGAAATGCCCTAAGGAGTTCACCCTACCCCCACGGCGGCGCAAAAATGCCTTGATGTTTCGTGGGTGCGAGAGAGTCTCTTCTTGGGTGGTGCGTCTTGCGTGTGTGTGGGTGGGTGCCGCTGGCTCCTGTGGGCCTTCCTTCGCGAACGAATCAAACTCTTGGGTGAACAAATGACGAAGGCGACAAAACAAAACGTGTGAGTGTTAGAGTTGTTTGGTATTGCTAAAAATCTCTCTCTCTCCCGAAGGCGTGTGAACCGCGCCATTCGTTCTCACCTGGCAATCCTGTCTGCACGCCTCGCGCGCGCGCGAACAGGGGGGCGCAGTAAGGGCGAAGAACAGCCAGGCTTGGTCGGACTTGAGTGCAGTTCCTACACATCGCCATCTTGGTTGCATGAAACTAGGTGTAATTTCTTTATTCCCGCGCCCCCACAACCTGGGAACGGCAACGTCCGTGTGCTCTCTCTTTGCGACGAGCGCTCCCATGCCTGGCCGACCAAAAGCTGGCTCGGCCACCTCCCGGCGCGGACACGCTTCGACGACGCCACAGGCTGCGCCGCTCGCGCTGCCGAAAAAGATCCAAGCCGCGGCGGCGGACGGCAAGGCGGGCGTGGTGCAGACGTGGCTCGCCGGGGACGGGCGGGTTGATGCGACGTGCGTGCGTCGCGGTGTGAGTGGCTGTACGCTCCAGCTGATCGCCGCCGGACACGGTCACAAGCAGCTGATCGAACTTCTGCTGAAGCGGGGCGCGAAGCCGAACGCGCAAGACAGCGTCGGCACTACAGCGCTGATTGCCGCCGCCACCATCGGCCACGTGCAGGTGGTCGAGACGCTGCTGCGGCACGGGGCGGAGATAAACCTGCAGAGCAGCGTCGGTTGCACCGCGCTGCTGTGCGCAGCCCTCAGGGGGAACGAGAGCATGGTCGAGCTGCTTTTGCGGCACGGGGCAGAGGTCGACCTGCAGGACAGCGACGGCTACACTGCGCTCGTGAGCGCCGCCTTCCACGGCCGTTCTGCCGTCGTGCTCCAGTTGTTGCGGGCGGGCGCAGACATGGCGCTGCGCACTGCGGCGGGCAAGACGGCGCTGCAGATCGCCAAGGAGAAGGGTCACACCGAGTGCGTTGCCGCTGTCAAGACGTTTCTCGGCGAGGTGGCGGCGGAGAGGCGGGACGCGGCGGCGGTCGAGGCGGGCGGCGCGGGGGCAGGCAGCGCTTCGGGCGGCAGCAGCGGGCCTGTTCCCGAGGACGTCGGCGCAGGCGGCGCAGGGGCGGACGGCGATGCCGCCTCGGGCAAGGGGGCAGCGGCATCAACTGCCGCGTCCTCTTCCGGCGGCGTGGAGAGCGGAACGGGCGAGGACGCCGTCCCCGAGGAGATCGTGGAGGTGGCTAAGCAAGGCGACGAGGCGGCGGTGCTGGTGTGGCTCGACAGCGGCGGGCGGGTGGACGCGACTTTCGCTGATGAGGGTGCGAGTGGCATTACGCTCCTGATGTACGCCGCCTACTACGGCCACGAGCGGCTGGCCGCGGCGCTGCTGCAGCGTGGCGCTTCGATCGACCTTCGGAACAGCGTCGGCAGCACCGCGCTGATGTTCGCCGCCCTCCTGGGCCACGAGCGGGTGTCCGAGCTGCTGCTGCATCACGGCGCGGAGATCAACAGGCAGGACAATGCCGGCAACACCGCGCTGATGTTCGCCGCTGTCTGGGACCACCCCGCGGCCGTACTCTGCCTGCTGCGGGCGGGCGCCGACATGGAACTGCGCTCGGCGGCTGGACGCACAGCGCTGCAGATTGCCAAGGAGGAGGGCAACGCCGAGTGCGTGCGCGCCCTCGAGGAGCATGCGGCGGCCCAGAGGGCGGCCGAGGCGGTGGCGAAGGAGGCGGCGAGGGCTGCGGAGGCGGCGGAGAGGGCGGCGGAGAGGGCGGCGGCGGAGGCGGAGGCGGCGCGGCACGCCGACGAGCTGCTGGCGGAGGTCGAGGCGGAGAAGCGCGGCAAGGGCAAGAAGGGCAAGAAGAAGAAGAAGGGCGGCGGGAGCGGCGGCGCTGGGCCGTCGCAGGAGCCCGAGGCGCCGGCGGAGGGTGCAGAGGCGCCATCAGAGGGTGCCGAGGTGCCGTCGGAGGCAGCCGCAGCCGAGGCCGCGAAGAAGGCCGAGGAGGCGAGATTGATCAGGCTTCTCGAAAGTTGTCACGAGGAGAGGATCCGGCTCGGCATCACGGCGGAGAGCCAGGCAGCGGCTTTAGCTGAGATGGTCGAGGCGGAGCGCTTGGCCGAGGAGGCTGAGGAAGAGGAGGAGGAGGCAGAGGCGGAGGAGGAGGAAGCCGCGGCCGAGGAGGAAGCCGCGGCCGCGGCACTTGCGGCAGCTGAGGCGGCGATGGCCGCCGCAAAGGCGAAGCGCGCGGCCGCTGCGAGGGCCAAGGCGGCCGCTGCAAGGAAGGCGGCGGACGCGGCCCAGCGCTCATAGAGAGCCGCTGAGAGGAGGACATGACGCGCGCATCTGGCACTGCGCCCGGCTGACGCCTGCTGAGGGGTCAGCCCCACGCCGCCCCGCCCTCGGCGTCGCGCAGCGGAGGCGGAGGCGGCGGCGTCTCGACCCGACGCCGCGTGAGGCAGGCGGACTTGCGCTCGCGGGAGTGGGTCAGGGAGTGGGGCGGCGGCGGAGGAGGAGGGCGGGTGGTCTCTATCTCGATGAAGAAAGTGTTCACGGGAGACACAGACCGGCGGTGACGACACCTCGACTTTTACCCGAACCCCTCTGGAGCGCGGAGGAGCGCCTTGTCTGTTCCTCGAGAGGTCTGGAGCGCGGCCGCACACTGCTCGGTACCCCCCCCTGGCACACCTAAGCCCATGGCCGACCCCCCCCCCCAGCAGCAGGGCTCTGCCTGTGGGGGGTGCTGGCATCTCTGTACAGACAGCAGCTGTAAGTAGCATGCGTTCCAAGTAGCGAGAATTTATAGTCGGCACCAAAATCAGTGGTCTCACCGGCGGGCCCTCCTACTGCCAGCCGGGCGGTGCGGGGCACGCCAGCCTCTCTTCTACGCCTCTCGTGCCTCGTGGCGCCTCTGCTTCAAGGAGGGAAGGTACGGCTCTCGCAGCTGTGGCACAGCGGAGAGCACAGCGGGCGGTACAAGTCCATCAGAGATGGTTCCCTATCTTCGCAACCATGCTCGTTGTTGGTGATATCCGCGCGAGGTCATACGCCACAGGCCAGAAATCACTCGGCGATGAGACTACTGATTTGGCGCGACGCTCTGACACCGAGTGTTGCTCGACGCTGTGACACCGCCGAGTACCGCGTGCAGCGCTCAACCTCGCGGAGTACACCTCTCGCTATCATCCCGCTTCGCGGCGGTCGGGCTGCTTGATTTGTCGGAAGACACCCACATCTCTGCTGCTGGAGGAGAGCTTCCGATAATCATAGTGGGTTCGCGATGGACCAGCCAGGGGGGCGGCGGCGGCGAAGAGGCGGGAGCTGGGTCCAGTGCGCTCTGTTGTTGGGGGTGTTGGGGGGGGGTGGCCCCCCCCCCCAGGGTCGCCCCCCCCCCCCCCCACCACCCCCCCCACCCCCCCCCCTACCCCCCCCCCCCCCGCCCCCCGCCCCCCCCCCCAAGCAGCAGAGTTTTGCTTTTGGGGGGGTGCCCCCCCCCCCCCCTTAGCAGCAGGGACGGGCTTAGAAGTGCAGGGGGGGTACCGAGCAATGTGCGGCCGCTCCTGTGTTCGTGTGAATTTCTGGCGCGCCGCAATATCAGCGCGCAATTCTTTCGGGGGGGGGGGGGGGGCTGCCTGTAAAAAAGAGATGAGCGGTGCGCGTAGGGGTCGGCGTGGAGGGCGAGGAACGCGCCGCGCGGGGCGCCGCCTCACCGTCGCGGGCTCAACGCCTCAAAAGTGGCGCAGAGTGAGGCGGCGCCCCGAGCGAGCACGTGAGCCCCGTGGCTCCAACCGGGCCCTTCCTTTTTTGAGCAGGTGTGCCGCCGCGCGAGCGACGCTCCGAGATCGCCCGAGATAGCGCGGCGCGGCCCCGAGATCGCCCGAGATAGAGCGCGAGATCGCCCGAGATTGCGCGGCGCGGCCCGAGATCGCGCACCTCGGCATATCTCGGGCTCGGCGAGGTGGATGGGTTGGGAGCGAGGGGGCGGAAGTGTCCAGTGCGGTAGATCGGTCAGTCGGTGCGCAAGAGGTGGCCTGTGAGCCATCCGGCTTACATTTACCCTGCGTTGGGCCGTCGACGAGGCCGACGTACTCCCCCGGCCTCGCCCCCCCTTCCAATCCTCCCCTGGCTCAGGCTCCTCATCCTCGCGGCGCGCAGACCAGTGCGCACCCCGCCCCGCGAGGACGAACCCTTCAGCCGGCGTTGGGACTGCCGCCCGGCCGCCGCCGCCGCCCTTCCCTCCGCCGCCCGCGCCGCCTTCTCCGCCGCCCGCGCGGCCTCCTTCACCTCCTCCGCCGCCAACAGCGCCTCCCTCCGCGTCACCCCGAATGGGCCCCTTGCGCATCCAGGAGAGGTCGCGCGAGCGACCTATCCAGGCGGGTGATTCGCAGACGGCGCATGCCCCTTCCGCAGCATCGAGTAGTCGCAGAAGAATTCGCCTAGCTGAGAGATCTGACGCCCATAGGCATCAGAACAATCGCCCCGCCGCGTCTCCTCCTCCGCCGCCTCCATCTCCTCTCGGCGCGACCAGTCCCCCAGCTCCGACCAGCCCTCACGCATCGGCCATCGCCCGGCGCCATAGCCAAGGCTCCACGTCAAACTCCTCTTCAACGCCAGGGACATGCGCAAACGTACGCTGGAAGCATCTAGCTAGACTCGGGATCGGGAGGAGAGGGTGGCTGCGCGTGCGCGGCATATCGAGCGGCATATGCATACTTGGGACTCGTAGCATATGCGCACGCGAGGTCGACCAACCGACCCCGCTCTCCCCTCGTGTTCGCGTATCGCGATCTTCGACTTCGTTCGGGCGATTCATAGCCGATACGCGATACACGGCTCTAGACCCTAGTCTGTTGGTGGGTGGAATGGAGGCGGCTTTGCTTGACCTGAGTGTTGGTGGGTGACCTACCTGAGGGAGTGCAGTGGCGCCTACCCTTCCCAGGATTACTCCTTAATTTTAACCGCGCCTGGCAGGCGTGTTCGTCCAAGTTCATGACTCGGCTCCGACCACGCAGCGTGCCGTCTAAGTTCGAGCCCGGCCGTCTCGCTCCGGCCGGTGCTGCTGCGCCGGTGGCGCGCGGCGCGGCCACATGCTGCCGCCGTCCGCCTGGACCACGGAGATGGTGACAGTGGCGCTGACGTTGGCGTCGGTCTCGACGATGGCGGTGGTGCCGATGGGTCGGCGGGCGACGTGGCGGACGAAACTGCTCTCGTCGTCGGTGACGAGCGTGTAGGAGAGGCGGTCGATCTCCGGCAGCAGCAGCTCGTCGGCAAAGTCGAACGCCCACCGCCGCGCGCCGACGAGGTGGAGCGTCCTCGACGCGCGCGTCGCCTTGAGGCGCGGAGGCTGCAGCGCCGGCCACGCCGCGTCCTGCACGCTGCTCGCCGAGTCGTCGATGAGTGTGCGCCGGCCGCCAACGAACGAGCCGCTGAGCTTCACCGACGCGTAGCCGCCCGTGCTCTTTGCGGCGAAGAGATTGTCGCGGATGATCACGTTGTCGAGCGACGCCCCGCCGTCGCCCTCGGCCTGCTCCGCGCCCTCCGCCGCCGCGCGCAGCTCGACGTGCGCGTTGAGGAAGAAGGAGGACTCGACCGTGAGGCTCGAAGGCGCGTGCACGATCAGGTGGTTGAAGTCCAGGTAGCAGCTGCGCAGCCGCGTCTGCGGAGAGAGGTCTGAGGTCAAGTAAACTTCTACTTCACACACCGTAAGTGGGTGGTGAGGCAGGGGCCGGGCAGCCCTCGCATCTCCACACACCCGGACAGGCAGGAGCAGGCCCGGCATTCAAAGTGCGAGGCCCGGTGCACGTGGGTGAGCAACCTGCGGAGAGAAGACGGAGCCGCCGACGACGATGCCGCCCGCGAGCGCCTGCGCGCGCGCCAGACAACGCGTCAGACAACGCGGTAGGGCGGGGAGCGCGCGACCGCGGACGCGGCAGCCCGCACATTATTCCACACGTGCACTCCGCTCAGCGTGTTGCAGCAGCCGTCGACCGTCACGCCCGTCTGCGTGTACGCGAACACGATGACGTCGGAAAGCACGTTGTCGATCGAGTCGACGACAACGCCCACCGACGTCGAGTTGAGCCTCGCGACGATCACCGACGGCAGCAGCGCCTCCGACCAGAAGTACTCCGCCGCCCACACCTGCGTTATGAGCCCCTCGTGCCCGCCCGCCAGGCGCAGGCCGAAGCGGCGGAAGCCATAGAAAAAGGCGTCGGCCACGGTGGCGCCCATCGTGCACGCCACGAGCAGGCCGCCCGCAGCGACGTGCGCCGCGTCAAAGTAGACCTCCCGCACGTTGACAAACTAGAGAGGAGTCAACTCTACTGGTCCAGAGGGCACCGCCGTTCATGGGGCACTACCGCCGTTCAGAGGGCACTACGAATGGTTAGTCTGGCACCTCATTGCAGCTCTTCTGGCCATCGGGGAGCCCGCGCGCGTCGAACGGATGGCAGTCGACACTGCCAACGGTGAGGAGCACACCGTTGCGGGGGAACGACGAGGAGGCGCGCAGCGTGCCGCGCATGATGTAGAAGTTCCCAAAGAAGGCTGGGACGAGAAGCGGCTGCGAAATGAGGAACTCGCCCTCGAGCTCCAGCGTCGCGCCGCCGAGGTCTGTGATGTTTGATGCCAGTTTCGAGGCGGCAGTTTTGAGACTACCCACCGACAGGAGCGCGTTCAACGCTGCCTGCAGCGCTCTCGTCGAGTCGAGCCTGCCTGTTGGGTCCGCTCCAAAGTCCACCGGTCGAAAGTTGCGACCCGATCTTGGCTGAAGAAGCGTTGGCGCGTGAGAGGAGCGCACGCCTGGCACCGGCGCCACGGCGAGCGCCGTCGCGTGGAGTCGCTGCGCCGCGATGAGTGTGGTCGGAGGCCTGTGGGCTGCAAGCGCCACTGCTGAGGCAGAGGTGTGTGACGCGACGCTCGGCAGGAAGAGGGTGTAGCAAAACACGAGCCACAAATTAAAGAGAGCCGATGGGGCGGCCTCGTCAGAGAGGGGCCGCGGCCACATGAACATGAGCAGAGTGGGCTGCGAAGGGCGAAGGCGGCGGCGAACAAGCGCGCTCCAAAACCAGCTGAAGTGCAAGACAAAAAAGAAATAAAACGCCCTGCTATCTCGGCGCAGGTGGGGACCCGTTCTCCCATCCCTCCCTTGGGTTGTGTATTTTCTTTCTTTCTTTTAGGTGGGGACCCTGTCCTTCTCCCACCCCTTGTTTGGTGTGTCCGTTTTATTTATTTATTTATGGTCCTGTTTTCAGTGTATGTAGCTCTTGTCATCGCCTTCCACCGTGAGTAATACCGGCACGCCGGCCGCATATGGCGGGCTCGTCTTCGCGTCCTCGCCGTCCGCATCGGGATCGCAGAACATGAACAAAGGCACGCCGCGCCGCGTCGCCATCGCGAGCACCGACTGCGTCGCGTCGCCATACGCCTCGCCCACGCTGCGCCCCTTGGCGAGGGCGGCGAAGAAGGCGCGCGCGACGTGCGCGACGCCGCGTCGGCCGCCTTGGTCCGCCAGCAGACGACGTGCGGCACGCCGCGCTGCCGGAGCTGCGCGCCGAGGCTGGCCGTGTCGCAGCCGTTGAGGAAGACGAGCTGCAGGCCGTGCGAGGCGAGCATGGCCGCGAGCGTCGTCGGCAGCGTCAGCTCGAGCTGCCCCGTCGCCGTGTTGGTGAAGCCGAGCGTGACGGTGCGGCTCGCCTCGCGCGCCTCGCTCGCGTCCTTCGCCGCCTCGCTCGCGGCCGCCGGCGCGGCGGCGGCGGCGGCGGCGGCGGATCGCACGGGCGGCAGCCGCACGTCGCCATGGCCCGAAAAGAGGAAGTACTTGTACGCGCCGTGGCCGTCGAGCAGCTCCTGCTTGAGGTCCGTCGGCGAGCCGCCGCGCCGGATGCGCGCCGTCACCTCGTTGGCCACGTCGATCGCCTCGTCCTTGGCGTGTGGCAGATGCAGGCTCTGCTGCGTCGGGCTGCAGACGAAGATAAGCGCCTCGCGCGGCGCGCCGCCGCCGCTGGTCGCGCACGAGGCGACGCTCGTCGCGTCGCTCGCCTGACGCGACACGTCGGCGCCGCTCGGCGGCGCGCCGCTCGGCGGCGCGTCGCCACCGAGCGAGAGGCGGCCGAGGGTGGCGGCCGCGTCGAGCAGCTCCGAGTCGCACACGTGCGCGTCGGCGAGGCACGCGGCGCCGGCGTCCTTGTGCGCGCGCAGAGCCGCGTACAGCTGCTTCGCATCCGCGGCGGTCATGAAGAGGACCTTCGTGCCTCGCCGCAGCGCGCCGCGGTGGTATGCATCGAGCAGCTCGACATCGGCGGGCGGCGCCTTTTGCTGGTGCTCGACGTTCGAGCCGAGCATGAATTTGAGGCACGGCTCGCCGGCACTCGCCGAGTGCGTCACCTCGATGCGCGTCAGCTCGCCCATGGGCCACTGCAATTCATGCTTCTTGCGCTTTTTGAGGAGCAGCCGCCCGCTCTCGAAGTTGAGCTCAAGCTTGCAGCCGCGGGGCAGCGTGACCTCGTCCTTGTTGGGCGAGTCCTCATCCTTGTCGCCGGGGGAGAGACGCGTCGGCGTGACGGAGATCTTGTCGGGCGAGGGCGTTGAGGGCGTTGAGGAGCCCGAGGCGGGCATGAATCCTCAGGTGCAAGGCGCGCGACACACGTCTTCTTTCACACCTACTCGAGTAAGGTAAGCCTAGATTTCTCCACACACACAAGTGGTGGGGCAAGGGCTGACAAGGGGGGCGACCCTCGCATCTCCACACCCGGACACGGGCAGGAGCCCCACGGCATTCAAAGTGCAAGCACTGGCCCGGTGCACGTGGGTGAGCAGCCTGCCCCTCCCTCCCGACAAACCAACTCCCGCACACACACAATCGCACTCTGGCCATCGAATGACTCCGAATGACTCACTGTGTGTGCTAAGACAGAATCTCCGCAGACAGCCAAAACGGGCCCTGCCGCGTTGTTGGTGCCTTCTCAAGTACTAGCAAGCATCCGGGCTTTCACAACCGTCACGTGTTCTGTGCTGCCTGGTGACTCACCTGCACGCCCGTGCGGCGCGCCGAGGCGAGGCCGGCGCCTTGCACCGGCCCGCGGCCGGCTCCGCCTCGCCCCACCACTGACCGCTCTGCGGCTTCTGGCGCAGGCATCACCACAACAGAAGTACGTACATGCCGGCCCCGATCGAGGTGTAGAGCTGTTTAACGTTGGGAGCTGAACAGTGTTGCTAGTGTTAACAGTAACAACAGAACAACAGTGGGGCTCCCCAACAACAGTAGCTAACGTTATGCCGGCTGAACAACAATAAGGAAGGCCTGGCAGTGACCCACGACGTTCTCCAGCGTCCAGTGCGGGTAATACCCGAAAATACCCGGAAAAGCGGAAAACCCCAGGTATTTTCGGGTTTTACCCGGGTTTTTTGGCATTTTCTGCTTGCTGACCGCTGAACAACAGTAACAACAGTAACAAACAGTAACAGCATGAGCTGGGGTGAACACTTTGAACAACGTTGAGGATTTCAGCCAACACTAGCGCAACTGTTAGGCCCAAAGTTAATGTTAAACAGCGCTCTATCGAGGTGCAACTGCGGCATCCGGCACAACGCACAAGCTGACGCTGCGCCGCACGACCCGGAGAGGTGTCCGGAGGGGAGTAAGGTGTATGCACACGCGCGTTTCAGCTGTAGTCTCCGCGCATTTATTGAGACGCCACATCGACACGCTAAACACAGCTCGAAAGGTATGCGGCGGTAAACAGGATATTGCAATATTCATGGGACGGCGGACGTTGCGCCCACATTTTTTTGGGCAGATCGCGTGGTGGAGCGCGTGTGTCGTCGCGCTAAAGCAGCCTCCCAAACACCGAGGGGCTAGCCGTGTTCGGGTCCACAAACTTGACCAGCTCCACTATGAGCCCGAACGCGAGAGAAAAGAGCACGGACGCGATGAGGCCACCAGTCGGCGTCTGCACGTTGATGTCGAGACCGAATAGGCTGGTGGGCATGTCGCCGCGGCTGTTTGCGATGGTGGTGTCACCTGGCACGCGTGGTGGCGTGCGTGGCATAGCATCGCTCGGCTCCTCCACCGACGGCGGCGGCTCCTGCATCACGAGCCTGAGCCGCGTCTGCGTGGAGATCGGCCGAAGCGAGGCACAGCTGACGGCAGCCGCCGGAGCAGCGCAGAGCACGGCGATCAGCGCTCGCATTAGGTCGAGGGAGTGCAAGAACAAAGAGGCCAGGGAGCGAGCTGTTTCCCCTCCTGCGTTTTGCAACTCGTGTACGCAGCGCGCAAAGAAAAAAAACCGTAAGTGGGCGCACGCAGATCGCGATTGACCTCCCTGATCTGGATGCATGCGCGCCGCTTGAGACATGGGCTAGCTCCCGGGAAACCGGGCCCACACAAGTAGGAAGTGGTTACTGAACGTGTGGGAGCAGTGTGCACAGTCCAGGGGTCCACCAATGTGGACCCTTGTACGTGCCTGTCAGTGCTACTGGAATGTGGCACAGACCTGTGAGATGTGCATGCACCCTCCGCCCCGGGGTGTGTGCACGCTGGCGTGTGGCATCGGCGGGCCCACTGTCCGAACACAACTCGGCCTTTGATATCCGGGCGGTGCGGGACCGAATCGAGAAGGACCAGGCGAGGGGGGAGGCGACGCGACTACTGGGCAGTCTACGGCCTGATGCGGAGAGGGGGGGGGGAGAGGCGGGGCCGTCGACGAATCCGGGCCCTGCCCCCCCCCCCTCCCCGAGGGGAGACGAGAGCTAGGCCCCCCCTCACGAGCGGGGTGGACGGCCGACGCGTGGAGCCACGGCTGGGATGGCCGCAGAGGCAGGGGGCATCCCCCGAGGCCCCGCCCCAGGAGGTGCGGCGGCCGGCGCCGCCACCGGGCCCGCCCCCGCCACCACCACCTCCGCCCCCCCCGCCGCTGGAGCGACTGCTGGGTCGAGGAGCCGCCCCTGAGGTTCCGCACCAGGCGGTGCGGCCGCCAGTGCCGCCATCGTTTCCGCCACCCACACTGCCATTTCCACCCCCGCCACTGGAACGGCTGCAGGGTCGTGGGGCCGCCCCAGCGGCTCCACACCGGGCGTTTGGGCCGCGAGAGCCGCCACCGTACCCGCCGCCCCTGCCACCGCCTCCACCCCCGCCGCCGGCGGGGCCGCCGCCGTGTGGACCCGCTCGGAATAACCTGGGGGGGCCGGGACCGCCCCGCCGGAAGCTGGTGTACCCGGGAGGAGGAGATGGGGGAGGGGAGTTACCGCGGTACGATAACGGGCCCACCGGCGAGCCGGAAGGCCGAGGCCGGAGGGCCCCAGGGGAGGCTTGGGGTCAGCTGTCGGAGGAGGGGAGAGATGTGCTAACACGGCCTCTGAGAGTGGAGTCGGAACGTACGGGCTCACCGGGGGAAGGCCAGTCGCAGTGGCAACCGGACCACCGCGACTTTCGACAGGGAGGGCCACGCCTCCCCGAGCCTGGAGAGGAGCCGGCGGAGGGGGGGGGCGAGCCAGGGACGATAGAGAGGCCGCGAGTGCGGGCACGACTCGCCGACCAGGGAGAGCCGGCCCGACCTCCCTGGGCGGGGAGGCGACGCGACCCTATGTCACCGCCTTTGCCCGGGGAGTCCGGCGCGGGATCGCCGGAGGCGGAGTCAACAGGATCAGGCAGAGAAGACGAGGCGGCGGCGGGGCCGCAGCCGAAAAAGGCTAGGAGGGGAGGTCGGGCCCCGCGCCCGCCGTACAACCATCGAGAAGCAAACAGGAGAACGGACCGAACGGGGGGGGGAACCCCACCGGAGCCGGGGCAGGGAGACCGAGCGGAGGGGTTGTGATTGGCGACGCCGTCGCCAAGGGGGAGTGTGTGTCGTCGCGTGTCCTTGTCTGGTGTCTACTAGCTCCGAGTAGAGGGGGCGTTCTGCTGCTAGGGGAAACCTGGAGCGCGGTACTAACCCTCGGAGAACTGTGTTTACTTTAAGGCCCTTGCCCTGCGAACGCGCACCCCCGGGGCTAGGGCTCTCTTGCCCGTAACCCGACACCGATCATCCGGCCCGCTGGGTGCGCTTCTGAGCTCCCCGGCCCTGGATGTGAGGTTAATGACTGCACTCCAAGTGCTCCAAGTAAGTGGTCCAAGTGATATGCGGTTGAACTGCACTCCAAGTGCTCCAAGTGCTCCAAAACGACTGCTGCGCGGTCATCTCTTCCCCTATCGTGCCATGCATCCGGCCCGCTGGTGCGCTCCATACACCATAGCAGCTCCATTGATAGCTCCCCGGCCCTGGTGTGCCTGGATTCCACGGCTGGATGTGTCATGTGAGGAGTGAGGTTGCCAACTGCAGTCTGCACACTGCTCTCCGAAGTGCTCCAAAATTTCCCCCCTGCGCGACCTTGACCCTCCCCCTCTTTTCCATGCCGCCACTACTGGCCAGCGGTGCCGTGAGCGGCGACAGGTCCCCACGCCCACCCGACAAGCCCCACGGCGCCGTCCGCTCACCACCGCGGGAATTCCCACTGCGTCTCGCCCGTCTGCTCGTTAAAGAAGTACGTGTCTCCGCTCGCTGGGTCGACGTCCGCGAACCAGCCGGCAGGCAGCGCGGAGCCCGGCTGCGACGCGCCCTCAGCCACACACATGAGGACAGCCGCGTCGGGGTCCTGCGCGTCCAGGCTCACCATGTCGCCGTCCTCGAGGTCGTGCCTCTGGCCTGCGGTGTGGATGCGCCGACTACAGGGTGTGACTACAGCTCCGGAGAGTGTACTCGTGTGAACACGCGGGCTGCGAATACAATGAATACCGCTGAACACGGCCCGGAATACAGCGGAGTACGTGTCCTCTCCCTGTCGAGTTGGGCTGCTACGATCGGTTTCAGCTTCTGAAGGCCTCAGCCTCTGAGGAGCGCGTTCCACGAGGCGCCTAACGGGGTCGCGGCCGCTTAGGTATGGCCGAGATAGGCCGAGACATGGCCGAGATATGGCCGAGGTATAGGCGAGATATAAAGGCGCGATCTGGCCGAGGAGTAGCCGAGAGTTAGCCGAGAGATAAGGCAGCACGCCTGTCCGCGACCGCCACAGAGTGGGCGGCTTGCCGCAGCTGAGTAGACTGGCGGTGCCGTCGCCGAGCACGCTCACCGTGCACTGCTCTCGAGACACGTGCAGCTTCTGGACCTCCATGTTCCACCGGCTCAGCACGAGCTCCTCGCCGCTCTGCACAAAGTATGGCAGGTCGCGGTAACGGTCGAGGTGGGTGAAGCCGTCCGGGTGCGTGAAGCCGCTGACACCGGCGACGCCTCGCACACTCCAGGTCACCTGCGCGCTCTGGCCTTGCTGCGCCCACTGAGGCGGCTCCCACTGGCACTCGCCCGTCTGATCGCTGCAGAAATATGGCGTCCCGTCGAAATCAAAGCTGGTCGTCCAGCCGGCGGGCTGGCCTTGCGTGTAGCCCTGCTGCTGCGCAACGAGCAATCGCGAACGGCTGAGCGTCGGCGGCCGCAGCACAGCCGCCACGATGCTTGGCAAGAGTGAGCCGATCATGATCCGTCGAGGTTTTAGCAGCCAACTTATTATCTTCCACGCGAGCCGGTGAGTGTGCCAGTCGCCAGTCCGCGCCCTTGTCGTGCCAGTGTGCTGTGAGAGAGGCTTGAGTTTAAAAAATTCTTATCCGCACCTGGTGGTGCGATGGGCTCCCTCCCGCGGGGAGAGCCCACGGCGGAAGACACAATATCGCTGGGCGACACGGTCCGAGCCCTCTGTTTGACTAGTGCTGCTTCGGTTTTGATAAGAAAAATGAAAATCAAACGCGCGGTGACTCGAGCTCAGCCCTTGGGCAGTTTCGAAGGACCTCCGCCAACGTCTCTCTCTCTGTCGCCAGCACTTCTTCTCTTGGCGCCAGCGACGGCCGCCGCAGCACCAGCAGCAGCCCCAGCAGTGCCGCGGCCCCCGCGATGCGGCTTTGCAGCGCCGTGTGGGCCGCGACTGCTCTCAGTATGATCGCCTCCCAGCCGGAAGCAGGCAAGGAAGGCCTCCTTGTCCGGCCCGGCCGGGGGAAGCGTGGGCTTGCCGTGTTCGCTCATCCCCGCGGCGCGGGAGAAAATGCTCAGCGCGTAGCGCGGCGCCCACGCCATGTCAGCCTTTTGTTGAGCTGGCCTCCCTGGCCTCCCGCTTGCTGAAGGCTGTCGGCCACAGGCATGAGTAGCACGCAGTCAGGTCCTCCTCGTCGTCTTCCGGAGGCAGCATGAGCAGTAGGAAAAAAAAGCCCGTATACGAGAAGATATGCCAGAGAAAGTGCGCGCCCGACGCCCAACATTCCAGCGAGGGCTCCTTCTCCATCGCCTTGTCGAGCGCGTAAAAGAGCAGCGCGCACGTCGTCAGCCCTAGCGCCACGAAGCCCGCCCACCTGCGGAACCTGGCCTTGCAGTAGTGAAGGACGGCCAGCGGGTAGAGGCCGACATACCACAGCCAGTGGACGCTCGTGTACTCTGCGCGGAGCGCGGGTGGCGGTCAACAGGCGCCTGGTATGAGGGCGGCTTGGGCTAGGCGAGCGGGCAGCTCACGGTAAAATGGCATGTAGTCGCCGAGTGCAAAGAGGCCCGCAAGAGCGGCTAGCACGATGCAGCACAGTAGCAGGCGGGGCCACACTCTTCTGAGCCGAAGGACCCTCCAGAGCCAGTGGAAGATGAACCACGCCCCGAAAAAGCACGGGAAGAGGAGATCCATAAACAGAAGCACGTTGTAGCCCAGCATGTGCCATATAAAGGAGCCGATGCCCACAGTCATGTAAAGCACGCCGCCTGCGAGGCTGATGTCATTTCTCCTGCGTCCATCTTGCGTCTTCCGCAACGCGAATATCACAAAACCCACACCCAGCACGACGGCCCACACGTTCGTCCACACGTTGAGCGGTTCGGCATTGACATTGAATTCGGTGCCTGTCCGCTCGCAGTACAAGTCGACCACCGCCCAGGCCGGCAGGCTCGAGTTGGCTAGAAACACCATAGGAGGGAGGTTCGACTAGTAGCAACGCCGCACACAGCTTTCCGTCGGTTGTTTCACAGCTTTCCGTCTCGACCGTTGCGCAGCATTTCAAACATTACTATGAATAGTCGGCTCCGCTGTCTCGCAGGCCGGGTGGGTGGACCGTTCGCTCGCTTTCCCTCCGGGGGCCCCTCTACGCCGGGAGGCGTGGTGCGCTCGAGGCCGCGCAGGCCCAGAAAATTCGGGGCCCACTCCGCTCCGCTGGCCTGGCCTTCTGTCTGCCCGCCCAATGGGTGGCAGTTGCCTCTGCTGCTGTGGCATGCCTCACGGCTGCGACTGGCCGGCGCCTCGGCGCGTCAGCCTGAGGGAGGGTGTAGAGGATGTAGAGTGTAGAGCGCAGTAGAGCTGTAGAGATGTAGAGCGCTCTGGAGCGCTGTAGAGCTGTAGAGCTCTACATCGGCTGCGTGACGAGGCGGGTGCGTTGTAGAGCGATGTAGAGCGCGATTTTGCTGTAGAGTTTGTTGTAGAGGCTCTACAGCCAAACCGCCGGGAAGGCAGTGACTCAAAGAGGTCGAGTCGCACTAATGGGGTGTCTCCGAGCTTACTGGAGCTCTGATGGACGGCCCTGACTATCACTGACACACAGAGACGGTCACTCTGACGGCACACAACACCCTATAACTGCGTCATGACCAGCCTGCCATGCGTCGCCGGTGCCGCATTCGTCGCTGTGCTTCTTTAGCAGGCGGTGGACTATCGGCTGCGAGGACGGTCGCATTTGCGCGAGGCGAGGCGAGCATTCAGACGCGTTGCATGCGCCATGACTCGCGCCAGCGCGTGCGGGAGCTCCTGGCTGAGCGTTGAGTCCAGGCGAGTTGCGCTGGCCACGATCGCTACGCCAAGCCGAGCTGACGCGCCGAGGCGCCGGCCAGTCGCAGCCGTGAGGCATGCCACAGCAGCAGAGGCACCTCCCACCCATTGGGCGGGCAGACAGAAGGCCAGGGCAGCACTGGTAAGTGCAACGCGCCTCATGTCGGAGAGCGACCGTGCCTCGTTCGCCGCTTATGATGTAGAGTTTGTTGTAGAGATTTCACGTTGTAGAGCGCCTCTACATCGCTCTACAACGCACCCGCCTCGTCACGCGGTGGATGTAGAGCTCTACAGCTCTACAGCACTCTCCAGCTCTACAGCTCTACAGCGCTCTACACTCTACATCCTCTACACCCTCCCTCAGGCGTCAGCTCGGCTCGGCGTAGCGATCGTGGCCAGCGCAACTCGCCTGGACTCAACGCTCAGCCAGGAGCTCCCGCACGCGCTGGCGCGAGTCATGGCGCATGCAACGCGTCTGAATGCTCGCCTCGCCTCGCGCAAATGCGACCGTCCTCGCAGCCGACAGTCCACCGCCTGCTAAAGAAGCACTGCGACGAATGCGGCACCGGCGACGCATGGCAGGCTGGTCATGACGCAGTTACAGGGTGTTGTGTGCCGTCAGAGTGACTCTCTGTGTGTCAGGGATAGTCAGGGCCGTCCACCAGAGCTCCAGTAAGCTCGGAGACACCCCATTAGTGCGGCTCGACCTCTTAGCTCTTTGAGTCACTGCCTCCCCGGCGGTTTTGCTGTAGAGCCTCTACAACAAACTCTACAGCAAAATCGCGCTCTACATCGCTCTACATCTGCATCGCTCTGTCCCGCGCCGAATGTAGAGCTCTACAGCTCTACAGCGCTCCAGAGCGCTCTACATCTCTACAGCTCTACAGCGCTCTACACTCTACATCCTCTACACCCTCCCTCCCTCAGAGCTCGTGGCGATCGTCGATCCGCGAGCTGCCAAGCTTGTCACAGGGAGGCCGGCACTGGATCGAGGACGATGGCGCCGCCGCGCGGCTGGAGGCAACGGAGAAACCGGCACTGGATCGAGGACGATGGCGCCGCGCGGCTGGAGGCAACGGAGAAAGGCATTGTGGAGCGGCGAGGCGTTAGGAATGTCGAGGCACGGAAAAATCCGACCAACCTGCAAAATCAAGTTTCGTGGGAGCCTGAATCTCCGGCACTTCCTGATGCCGCGGCCTTTCGCGCGTTCCACCAGCCAGTTGCTGGACCCCGGGCTGGACTGCTACAAGTATGCTTACCGACATCAGCCTGCTGCGACACGAGCGCCGCGGTGCGGCTGCGGCGCTGAGTGCGCTGAGTCTCCTCCTCGCCACGGGGTGCGTCCTCCTCCTCCTCTGCCGGCCGCCACCATCGGTCCACAACCGCGCGACGAGTGGCAGAGCAGCAGCGAAAAAAGATAGCCCACTCCTCTTCTTTGCGATGGGCGACTGGGGAGGTGGGAGCCGGTTCATGCCCACGACGCGCTCCCAGCTAGCCAACGGCGACGGCATGGCGACAGTTGCCAGCTGGATGGGCGTCACGCCCGCTTTCGTGATGGCTGTCGGAGACAACTTTTATGAGTGTGGCGTCACCGACGTGGAGTCGCGCCGCTTTGCCTCGACCTTCGAGGCGGCCTTCAGCCAGCCGGCGCTGCAGGTCCCTTGGTACGCCATCGCAGGCAACCACGACCACTGCGGCAACGTCTCGGCGCAGCTGGCCTACGCAGCCCAGCGGCGCGGGACGGCGCGCTGGCGATATCCACACTTGTGGTACACGTTCACCGAGCGCGCGCCGTCGGGCGCGACCGTCCAGATCGTCTACATCGACACGGTGGTGCTGGCGGGGATGCCTCAGGAGGAGGGGGAGCCGGGCGTCGTGGCCGAGCAGTACGCGCCTCACCCGGCGCAGCGGCTCGGCCCGGAGCAGCTCGCGTGGCTCGAGGCCACACTCGCGTCCTCGACGGCCGACTACCTGTGGGTCAGCGGTCACTACCCCGTCTTCTCGCCCTGCCAGCACGGCCCGACGCCCGCGCTGCTGAGGGACGTGCTGCCGCTGCTGCGGAGGCATGGCGCCGCGGGGTTCATCGCGGGGCACGACCACTGTTCGGCGCACTACGAGCAGCACGGGATGGCGTTTGTCCTCTCCGGCGCGGGTCGGGAGTGCTGCTACCACCCGCGCCACCTCGCCTCGCCCCTCAACCCGGGCCCGCCGCACTTTCGAATGGACCGAGAGCGGCATTATGGCGCGATTGGCGGCTTCGCGTCGTTCAGCGTCGGAGCCGGCGCCACCACGCTGCGCTATCACTCCGACAACGGCGCACGCAGCTCCCCGGCTCATTCGTCAACACGCCTCATCCCCCCCCTCTCTCTCACGCCGCGCTCCCTCGCTTAGGCACGGTGCTCTACACCGCCGAGCCCATCCTGCCGCGTCGCCCGGAAGCTGGCACAGAAAGGTGAACGCGCGGCCGCACCCCCGAGCTTGCAGTGGCAAGCGCCGTAGAGCTATAGGACCCAGCTTAGCAGCTGAGAGAGTGACAATCTGTGTGAGTCGAAAACGGGCATCCAGGAGGGACGTGCATACCCAGTAGCGCTCCAGCGTCCATGCTCCAGGTCTCCAGCAGCAGTGTAGTCGCGGAGTCAGTGCTTTCCGCTCCGCGGCCGTGAAAACCATGGGGACAATATGACGTGGCTGGGGTCTACAAGATGATGAGGTGAAGCGGACACGGACAGGCCTCTCTCCCTCGTCGCCCCGCTATCTCATGAACTCATCACACTCGTGTCGCACGTTCGAGCACACGCTGAGACACGGACAAATGCCTCTTCCCTCTCTCCTCTCTCCTGATCATACAAAGGTGGGTCTCGTCTCGCGACCTACGACACGGGCCGCTGGCGCGGTGCGGCTCCGCCCTAGGCTCCGCGCCAAGCCTCGCGCTCCAGAGGGGCGCAAAGCGACCAGCAGCCTCCTCCACCGCGCTACGAGGTCAAGGTCCAGCGGATGTACCACTCGACGATGTCGAGCGGGAAGAAGATCCAGTTGAGCGGGAAGGGCAGCGAGAAGCCGTACTTGAGCTGCGAGTAGAAGCCCAGCCCCGCGATCGAGTAGCCCACCACCTCGTCCAGCTTGGTGTCGGCCTCATCCGGGATCGAGGTGTACCCCTTGTTGCGCACCCACGCCATCAGCCCGCGCGCAAACATGAGCCCGCCCACCATCGCCAAGTGCGCCGCCGACACAACCTCCTGCAGCTTCCACGCGATGAAGCAGCCGATTGAGCGCGAGGCGTTCTTGATGACGAACTGTATCCAGTTGTGGTACTCCTTTGGCAGCGTGTGCACCAGGAAGGGCACGGCGACCTTTTGCGCGAGCGGCGCGATCATGCCCGAGATGGAGATGCCGAGGGCGATCGTCTTTGCGAACTCGATGCGCAGCATGCCTTGCACCGCGATCCACGACGTCATCAGCCCGCCGAGCGCCGCCGACAGCTTTTCCGGGTCCTTGACGGCCTGCGCAGAGACAGCTAGCTTGCGCGAGAGGAGCTCGTTCGAGTCGATGTCGCCCTTCTCGAGGTGCGCCGCGTCGTCGTGCTTCTTGCTGTCGCTCACGTTCGCCGCCCACACCGCCTGCACGTCCTTGCCGATGTCGATCAGCGCCGCCTCTGTCCTGTCCCAGCCGCAGACCTGGAACGCCTTGACCGCTGAGATGGAGGCGGTGTATCCGCCGCCACAAAAGGTGAGCGCGAGGCCGGCGAGGGTCTGAATCGCCTCCTTGGGCAGCCTCTGGTACAGCTCGAACCCGAGGTTGCCCAGCTTCAGGTAGAAGGGGCCGACGTAGTCAATCAGCAGCCGTGCGATGAAGCCGATCGGCTTCGCGAGCGGCTTGAGCGTGTTGGCCACCTGCGGTGATCGGACGTGCGCGTGGCGAGAGCGCCGCTGGCCCGACCTGGACCCGCGAGGCGTGCTGGGTGTGTGGCACGTGTGGCACACAGGCTCTCGGTGGCACCGCCTCGGCTCTCCCGCCGTCATCTGTGTGAAGGGCGCCTTGGCGAGGACCGGCGGCTCGCCCTCCGAGGCGCGCATGATCTGAGACGCGAGCGTCTGCTTCTCTACGAAGGCATCGGTTTCCGCCGACTCTTTCGTCATTGCTGCAGCTTAGCCTTCGATGTTATCCCTTGTGAGGCTTCGCGGCAGCGGCAGCGGCGCCGAATCGCTCCTGTCTCGCCCGGCGCGCTTTTCTTCACTCTGGCTCCGAGCCGTGTGTGTGCCAGTCCGCGCCAGTCCGCGCCCTTGTCGTGCCAGTGTGCTGTGAGAGAGGCTTGTATTTTAAGAATTCTTCACTCTGCTCTCGAGGTTCTCGAGCGCTCTTGTGCGTATGAAGCGTGTCCTGTTGTGACACGATATTGTGGCACTGCTAAAGACCCAAAATTTAAGAACGGCTCGAAGTCGATAGAACGAAATCTATCGTTGGACAGGGGTACAACGAAATCGAGCGGCTGGGAATTTGGATGCCAAAGGTACACCAATTAATGCAGCTGAGGAGGAGAAGGTGGAGAAACTGGCTGCAACCCATGCTCTCGAGAAGAGCTATCTTCCCTCTCCTCGTTAGAGCAGCCACAGCACCACGACGAATCTTTGTTGCCGCACTTGTTGCACTGAACCGACTCTTTGCACCACTGCCAGCTTCTAGCATTGCCAGCGTTGCGGAGGGCGAGAGCGGCTTGGCGGCGAAGCTGGAGGGCGAGAGCGGCTTGGCGGCGAAGCCTGTAAACGAATGACAGCACTATCCATACGTAGATGGGTGACGGCGTCGAGGACGTTGATGGCGGTGCGCTCTTCAGCCGTCAAGCCAAATCGGGCGCTGCGCCGGATTCGCGCCCCCTCGACGCTCGGCAGCATGATGAATGCTGCTCCTGCAACAAAGGGTAGCAGCTCATGCCGAGGAACGCCCAGTGACCAAGCCAGGTAAACGAAGGAGAGAGCTGGCGTAGCCCCCTCCCCGGCGGAGCCAGGCGACGATGACTTGTCCAGTGCATCGGTGTCGTCCTTGGGCTCGGTGTTGCTACCAAGCCTGCCCAACGTGGTGTGGTGGGGATCGGAGTGGTCTGACCGTGTGGAATGGTCCTGGTCGAGGCCCTCTGTCGCATCGTGAGGCGTCCCTCTTCTCTCGCTCGAGAGATGGTCATCTGAACCCGAATCCTCGGTGTCCAGCAAGTGGAGTTCTAGTCGTACGCGGTCCCGCGGTTTGGTCGCGGGAGATAGGTTGCCCGCAGTGCCGCGGGTTTCCTCATCCGAGGAAGACATATTTGTAGAGAGTACTCAAAGTACGAAGGCGTAGTTATACACCGGTGGGGGAGTGGCGCAATTATGCACCGAGTTGTGACACCACAACAGCAAAGAGGTCGACTGTCTCGCAGCGCGGCGGCCCAGCGAAAGCAGTCAGAGACTATGACGTGCTAAACTTGCACAACGGGAGTTGGGGAGCCGTGACGTGCCACTATTTGGGCATGGGAATCCGGGGACATGGGAATACGGCGGACTATTTATCACTCTGGAATGGGGAAGGAAGAATAATAGGTGAAGCTTCTCGATATAGGTCAGGCTACTGGTCCTCGTGAGAGTCCTCGTGCCTCACCTCCTGCGACAGTAGGTGTCACTGTCGCTGTCGTTTGCTGTCATGACAGCTCCCAGCTGTCGTGACAGCGGCTAACGGTCGTGACAGCGGCTAACCGTCATGACGTGAACTTTCCATAGTCATGTAGCTCTCGAACATACCCGAGGGTGAACTGCTGACAGGGTTTGCGATGGGTTTGGGGCTTCTCGAGCGGCGGGCCGGTATGCACGCCGTTGTTTCGCAGCTTGGGGGGGGGCGCGTATGGACAACGGTAAGACAACCATACGCGGACAACGGTGTGAACACAGAATGGGCCAGCAGCAGAGCCTCGAGGACGCTGAGGCGGCGGCCTGCGAGTACATCGAGTCCGGCCATATGAACGCCGTCAGCCCGACCTTGCTCGCCGACCTGCGCCGGGGCGATTTGACCTTGCTGCGCGCCCTCCTCGCCAGGTGGACGCACGGCCCGGCGCTCACGGCCCTGCTCGACGCGCGGCTCGAGGCCGCGAATGAGTTCACGCTGCTGGCTTACGCGGCTTGGCACGGGCAGGCCGACGCGGTGCGGCTGCTGCTCGAGAGCGGCGCGAGGGTTGGGGCGACAACGGGCCGCGGCTACACCGCGCTGGCCATCGCGTGCCAGGAGGGCCGCCTCGAGTGCGTGCGGCTGCTCCTCGGCGCCAACGCTGATGCCGACCAAGCTAAGGACGACGGCGCCACGCCGCTGTTCATCGCGTGCCAGAAGGGCCAGCTCGAGTGCGTGCGGCTGCTCCTCGGCGCCAGCGCGGCGGTCAACCAAGCAGACGCTGACGGCTTCACGCCGCTGTTCATCGCGTGCCAGAAGGGCCAGCTCGACTGCGTTCGGCTGCTCCTCGGCGCCAACGCTGACGCCGACCAAGCCAAGGACACCGGCGCCACGCCGCTGCACACCACGTGCGAGAAGGGCCAGCTCGAGTGCGCCCGGCTGCTCCTCGAGGCCAGAGCGGCGGTCAACCCAGCCAAGGCGGACGGCGCCACGCCGCTGTTCACGGCGTGCCAGGAGGGCCAGCTCGAGTGCGTCCGGCTGCTCCTCGGCGCCAGTGCGGCGGTCAACCAAGCCATGAAGGACGGCGCCACGCCGCTGTTCATCGCGTGCCAGAATGGCCAGCTCGAGTGCGCCCGGCTGCTTCTCGAGGCTGGCGCGACGGTCGAACAGGCCAGGCAGGATGGCGCCACGCCGCTGTTCACGGCGTGCCAGAATGGCCACCTCGAGTGCGTGCGGCTGCTCCTCGGCGCCGGCGCGGCGGTCAACCAAGCCAAGGACGAAGGCTTCTCGCCGCTGCACATCGCGTGCGAGAAGGGCCACCTCGAGTGCGTTCGGATGCTTCTCGAGAGCAGCGCGGCGGTCAACCAAGCCAACGTCAACGGCGCCACGCCGCTGTACATCGCGTGCCAGAACGGCCACCTCGAGTGCGCCCGGCTGCTCCTCGGCGCCAGCGCGGCGGTCAACCAAGCCAACGTCAACGGCGCCACGCCGCTGTTCATCGCGTGCCAGAACGGCCACCTCGAGTGCGCCCGGCTGCTCCTCGGCGCCAGCGCGGCGGTCAACCAAGCCACGGAGGACGGCGCCACGCCGCTGCTCATCGCGTGCCAGAAGGGCTACCTCGAGATCGTTCAGCTGCTCCTCGAGGCCAGCGCGGCGGTCGACCAAGCTGCGGGCGGCGGCTGGACGCCCCTGCACATCGCGTGCGACGAGGGCCACCCCGCCGTCGTGCTCTGCCTGCTGCGGGCGGGTGCTGACACGGCGACGCGCATTGCGAGCGGCGAGACGGCGCTGCAGCTGGCCAAGGAGGAGGGCCACACCGAGTGCGAGCGCGCACTTGTGGCGGCGGCGAGGGCGGCGAAGAGAGCGGAGATTGAGGCGAAGGTGGAGAGGGCAGTGGCCGAGAGGGCGGTGGCCGAGAGGGTGGAGGCCGAGAGGGCGGCCGAGGAGGCTGCGGCGGCGCTGCTGTCAGAGGCAGAGGCGGAGAAGCGCGCCAAGGAAAACAAGAAGAGCAAGAAGAAGGGCAAGAAGAAGGGCGGCGGGGGAGGCGCTGGGCCGTCGCAAGAGGCCGAGGCGCCGGCAGAGGAGGCGGCAGAGGAGGCGCTGGCGGCGGCGGAGGAGGCGGAGCTGGCGGCGGCGCTCGAGGAGAGCGCGAGGCTGGAGGACGAGAGGCGGGTGGCGGAGGAGCCAGGGTCGTCCTCGGCTGCAGAGGCGCCGGCTCCGAGGGAGGAGGAGCCGCCGGCCGACTTCATCTGCCCGATCACGACCGAGCTCATGAGTGAGCCGGTGATGGCGGCGGACGGGCATTCGTACGAGCGGTCGGCGATCGAGCGCTGGCTCGCGACCAAGTCGACGAGCCCGATGACGGGCGAGGCGCTCGTGCACAGCTTCCTCGCCCCCAACCACACGCTGCGCCGGCAGATCCGTGAGTGGCAGCAGGCGCGGGCTTGATCATCGGCGCGCTCTGGCGTCTGGGGGGGTCGTGGGGACTCCGGGAGTGGCTCAGTGATCTCAGTGACACGCTTTCTCTCGTACCATTGCAATAGTACGTGGGTGTTCGACGTATTCCACTCGAACACCCTACTGTGAAGCACGGCGAGCCTACTCAGCAGCGTGCACCTCGATCCTGCACAAATGCGAGCGCGCAGTACCCATCACCAAAAAGAGCCGAACCCAAGAGCGTGGTGCAGCGCCACAGCCTAGCGGCGCTGGTTCCCTGAGCTGCTCCAACGCGGTCGTGCTAGCGGCGGAGCATGGCGAAGAGGAGGCGGTGCTGGCGTGGCTCGAGGCTGGCGGGCGGGTCGACGCGACGTACGAGAGAGACGGCTTGAGCGGCGTCACGCTGCTGATGGGCGCCGCCCGCAGCGGCCACGAGCGGGTGGTCTCGGGTGGTCGAGTTGCTGCTGCAGCGTGGGGCTGACGTCAACCTGCAGGACAGCGACGGCTTCACCGCGCTGATATTCGCTGCCTACCTCGGCCACGAGGGGGTGGTCGAGTTGCTGCTGCAGCGTGGGGCTGACGTCAACCTGCAGGACAGCGACGGCTTCATCGCGCTGATGCGCGCCGCCAACAACGGCCACGAGCGGGTGGTCGAGTTGCTGCTGCGGCGCGGGACGGAGATCAACCTGCAGAGCAGCAACGGGAGCACCGCGCTGATGTACGCCGCTGAGAACGGCCGCGAGCGGGTGGTCGACTTGCTGATTCGGCACAGCGCTGAGGTCAACCTGCAGAACAGCAACGGCTGGACCGTCCTGATGTACGCCGCCTTCCACGGGGTAGCCACCACTTTCCTGCCTCACAAGGGCGGGGCTGTCCCGGAAAGTGAGAAACGCCGGGCAGCGTGGTGCACGACTTCAACCTCCCATACGTGTTTTCGTTCGCTTCTCCCTCGGGCTGTTCCATCTCCTCATATCCTTCCCACCTAGGCGGGGCGGGGGTCGGGGGGGCGGCAGGCGCGGGGTGCGAGGTGCGGTGCGGTGCGTGCAATCGTGTGTTTGGCGTCATGTACATGTTAGATGGCGTGTTTGGTTGGGGGGGGGGGTCGGCCATGACTTTAGATGTGCAGGGGGGGTACCGAGCAGTGTGCGGCCGCTCCCACATGAGCGGCGCGCATCTCCACAACCCTGGGGCTACATGACATGACTAATATGTTCAGAGATGACAGATGTCCTCTCCACAGAGAGCGATCGTGCAGATCTACACCACCCCGGCCTCCGGGCCGCCCCGGATCCCCTCCACCGCGCACGACTCCTCCCTGCACACCAAGTCAAACTGCTGCACCGCGGGCATCCTCCGTCGCACCGCGTCGAGACCTACCGGCGCACGTACCACATCTCAGAGAGAGCGGGAACGGCGCGCATACATCACCCTTTGGCGCAGGCAGGCACCTTTACCGAGGCTTCCCTTGAGTTGCAGCCAATGCACGAACCAAACGCGGTGGTGCAGGTCGTCATTGATGCGCAAGCCATCGTGCCTGCTCCACCTCACGGTGAGGGTGCGCCCCTGCGTGTCCTGTCGGAAGAGGGAGAGCGAGGCGACGGTCGTGTGCGGCAGCACGTCTTCGCCGTCCTCCCCAAAGCCAAACTGCGTCAGGTTGGGTTCGGCGCGCAGCAGCTGCTCGATCCCATGCCTCCCCAGGTACTCCTCCATCATCTGCTTTCGGCCTATGCGTGCAGCGCTGCCGACGTGTCACGGGGGGGCGAGGGAAGCGGGAGTTCGCCACGTTCCCGCTCACCTACGAGCAAGTTCCCCCGAAAAGTGAGAGTCAGCCGCACGCAAGTCGGTGGGACGGACGTCATGGTGCGTCGACACCGGCGAGGAAGGGGCGCCACGCTGGCAGCCACTTGCGAACAAGGTCACGGAGCCGATCCGAGTTGCGGAAGAGCTGCAGCGCGCCGCTCGAGCGCCGCCGGCACTGCGTGCGCGTCCGGTTGGCGAGCAGGGAGCGGCGGAGCAGCTCCACCTCGGTCGCGCTCCCGTGGTGCTCAAAGCGCAGGCTCCCACCGGAGGCGACGGCCCCCTCGGGCGTCAGCCGCCCCTCGCGGCAGTAGCCGGAGAGCACGTCGTACCGCGAGAGCAGCGTCGGCGAGAAGAGCCGCCGCACGCCGCCGCCAAACAGCCCGTCTACATCGCCGTAGCCCCACCAGGAGTAGTCGCGCAGCTCCTCGCGAAAGAGGAGCCCCCACAGCGGCCGCGTGTCGCAGAGCTTCTTGCTGGCCAGCCTGCGAGGCCAGCCGCTCGCGTTCACGTCAATGTTTCGCAGTCTCTGCTCGAGCTCCGCGTAGCTCAGCGGCCGGAAGAGGACGCCGCGCGCCTCAAAGAAGCCCGAGCTGCCCGGGAAGCACTCTGGCGCGCGGCCGGTGTTGTGGAAGACGAGCATCGTCACGTGGCGCGGCCGGGCGATGGCAAAGGTGAAGAGGCCGGTGCACAGGACTGATGGCCAGGGAGAGTCTTGGATGTCGAGCATCACCTGCACCATCGCCACGGTCGGCGAAGCCCTCGCGGGCCCCTCGAGCAGCCGCCGCCTCCGCTCTCTCGTCCTCGCGCCGCGGCTCGACTGGTCGTCGACTGCCCCCGCAGCCTGCAACAGCTGGTTGTGCAGCCGCTGCTCGGCCGCGGCAAGCGGCGCACTGCGAGGGAAGCAGCATCGGTGGATGACGTACGGCCCGCGCGCTAAGCCAATGCTTCGCGCCCGCATGTGCAGCTGCCGTGGCTCGAGCCCTCCCCAGGGACCGCAGAGTAGCACCCCTGCTGGCAGCTGCGAAGGCACAGGAGCGTGCAACCCCGCGCGCCGAGTGGCAATGGCCAGCCGGCCGGGAGCAATCGAGAGGGCGGGGATCATCGACCGCGAGGCGGCTATGAAGCGCTGGAAGGACTCCCGCGAACCTCTCCAGCTGCTGGGCTCGACACACTTCGCGGCTGGAGCCCGAGTAGCGCCAGGGCCGGAGCTTTGCGCTGCCGATCGAAGCTGGAATCCCATGCTAACTATGAAGACCGCCTGGCCCCCGCCGTGCGCCTCCCGCACCCCTCGGGCCTCAGTGCCACCATTCCGGCAACCCGCCCCGCGACATAGCGCCAGTGTGCGCGCCAGTCCCGTGCCCACAGTTGTGCGAGGGAGTTCGGTTCTAAAATTCTTTTCTTCGCACAACACTGCGTATCTCAGTCGTTCTTCACACGGCAATCGCAGAGCAGGTTGTGAATGAGCTTGCCTGTGGCGGGGGTGGGCGGGTGCACGGAGCTAAGTGCCTCGCCACTCTCGCAGGAGTCGCTTAGGCGGCTCCCGTGGTGTACCTGTGTTAGCGCCAGTGCGCGCCAGTCCCGTGCCCAGTGTTGTGCGAGGGAGTTTTGTTGTAAAATTCTTTTTCTTCGAGCGAGAAAGCGGCCGGACGAGCACACAGAAGAAGTCGAGTGAGACATGAAGGAGGCCGAGGAGACAGGCCAGGACAGTGCCAATGTGCGGGCGCGCTTTCAACAGTTCCGCGAGGAGACGGGGCGGCTGCCCGAGGCGGGTGCTGAGGAAACGGGCGGAGATGTGTCATCGGCGGTGGCAGCCGAGATGGCTCGCCAGCGCAGCCGCGTGGACACGGGCCCGGCCTCACCAGACCGGGTCCCGGACAGGATTGTGGACGCGGCAGGGGAGGGCAACGAGGCGGTGGTGCTGGCGTGGATGGACGCCGCCGGCGGGCAGGTCGACGCGACGTTCGAGTCGGGCGATACTGGCGGATTCACCCTGCTGATGTACGCTGTCGCCAACGGGCAGGAGAAGCTTGTCGACTTGCTGCTGGGACGCGGCGCCAAGGTCAACCAGCAGGCCAGCAACGGCATGACCGCGCTGATGCACGCCGTCCTGAGCAATCGGCCGCCGATCGTGCGCCGCCTGCTCGGGCTGGGAGCGGACCTGAAGGCGCGCGCCGCAAACGGCAAGACCGCGCTGCAGTTTGCCAAGGAGAAGGGCTTCGATGGGTGCGTCGCCGCCTTTCGCCAGCACATCGAGAGGGTGACGTCGAATTTGCGCGAGCGCGGGAGCGGTGGGGTCAGCGAGGGTGGCAGCAAGGAGGCGGCCACCGAGGGCGCCGCCGACACTGGCGAGGATGGCAACTGCGAGGTTCCCTTGGAGATCCTGCTTGCGGCGGGCGGGCGCGGTGAGCCCACAAGCATGGCAAACGTGCTCGAATGGGTTGACAGGGAAGAAGGGCGGGCCAACGCGACCTTCGATGCGTCGGCGTTCCTCGCGATCGCCTCGAAGAGGTGCGGCCCTGGCAGCGCCGCCCCTCAAGGCAGTGCTGTGAGGGGCTGCACGCTGCTGACGGCCGCTGCCCGCAGCAACAACGTGCACCTGGCAGAGGCGCTGCTAGACCGCGGCGCGGAGATTAACAAGCGGGACAGCAGCTGCATGTCGGCGCTGATGCACGCCGTTGCCCACGGTCAGGAGGACATGGTCAAGTTGCTGCTGAAGCGGGAGGCGGAGGTCGACCCGCAGGACAGGAAGGGCATGACGCCGCTGCTTGACGCCGTCACCCGGGGCGAGGAGAGGCTTGCCGAGGCACTGCTTCGGGCGGGCGCGGAGGCTGACCAACGGGACGGCACGGGAAACACCGCGCTGACGGTAGCCGTGCTCAATAACCACCGCGGCGTCCTGCGCTGTCTGCTGAAGCACGGTGCAGATATGAAGCTGTGCGCCACGGACGGCATCACGCTGCTGAAGCTGGCCGAGAGGATGGGCCACGATGAGTGCGCACAGGCGTTGCGGACGACGGTCCCCAAGGAGATTGCCATGGCGGCGGACCGAGGCGACGACCAAACGGTGCAGACGTGGCTGGAGATCGCCGGCGGTCAGGTCAACGCGACGTACGAGGACGGCGACGTGAGCGGCTTGACCCTCCTGATGACTGCGGCCAGCAGCGGCTGGCCGCTCCTTGTCGACATGCTGCTGCGACGCGGTGCGAAGGTGGGCGCGCGGAGCAGCAACGGCTGGACCGCTCTGATGCACGCCGCCCTTAGCGGCCACGAGCGAGTGGTCCACAGGCTGTTGCTGGCCGGCTCGAAGGACGGCGAGACGGCGATTCAGCTCGCCAAGGAGTCGGGTCACGCTGCGTGCGTGCGCGTCTTCGAGGCGCATGTGGCGGCGCATATGGCGGCGCATGTGGCGGAGGAGGCGGCGAGGGCTGCGGAGGCGCGAGGGGAGGCGCTGCTCGCGGAGATCGAGGCGGAGGAGGCGAAGGCGCGCGCCAAGAAGGGCAAGAAGAAGAAGAAGAAGAGCAAGGGTGTCGTCGGCAGCAGCGATGCGGAGCCATCACAGGAGCCCCACGCGCTGGCAGATGAGGCGGGGGAGGCAGAGATGGAGGCCCCGGCGGTGGAACCGCTGCAGCACGCGGCGGCCGCCCTCACGGAGCTGGTAGACGAGGCTGCTCCGCCATCCACTCGACCCTCGGACATCCCCGAGGCTTTCCTCTGCCCGATCACCTTCGCGCTGATGGACGATCCGGTCGTGATGATGGACGGGATGACGTACGAGCGCCGCGCCATCGAGAGGTGGTTGAGCAAAGGCCACACGACCTCGCCGCTCACTGGTGCGGAGCTCCAGTCGACCGTGCTCATCCCAAACAACCTCGTGCGCAGCCAGATCCGGGAGTATCGGGCGCAGCAATAATGTGACTGCTAATACAATGCGGCTCCCTATTTTCTCTCCATGTGCCCTCGTGGCAGTGCACGAGTCGAGTGCGCGAGTAGCCCCGGGTGAAGACCCCCCTCCTCCCCTGCGGCCAGCCTGCGGCACCAGTGACCAACGAGCTGCAGCGGCGGCAGGCGGTGCTGCGGGCGGTGCCGCGGCGGAGGTGGCAGCAGGCACGTGTGTTGAAGTAACAATTACTGAATTCCTTTTACCTGAGTCCCGCGTACGTGGTTAAACACGACAGCCCAAACCAATAGAGGTACCGTACGATATAATGAGATACACAGGGCTGCCACGCAGCAAGCGCCCTGCCCGCTCCCCCTCTGGCTTCCTCACGGCAGCCACGACGCGGGGAGCGAGTAGATGGAGGCGGCGGCGCACAGCGCCGTGCTGAGGGTCAACGGCACCCCCAGCCGCGCAAAGTCGGCAAACGAGTAGCCGCCTGGCAGGGAGGCGGGGCATGTGGGCGAGGGGCGGGGCGTGCGGTGCAGGTGAGGGAATGGGAGGTGCAGAGAGCTGGCGTCGGGCGCGGGCGCGGCGCGGCGCGGAAGGCACACCCGGCTGCAGCACCATCAGGTTGGTCTGGTAGCCGATTGGCGTCGCAAACGACGCGCTCGCGCCCATCATCATCGCCAGCATCACCTGCGCCGGGCGCAGCGCGGCGAGCCCTCCGCCGTCGTGCAGGTCCTTGAGCACGCCGTACACGAGCACGACGCACGCGGCGTTGGAGACGAGGCACGAGAGAGCAGACGTGAAGAGGAAGACCGCGCCGAGGAAGGGCAGCGGGCCTGCGTAGTGAGTACGCCAGCCTCGGGGCGCGAGGACGGTGTCGTGCATAGTACTGAGAGCACCTCCCCAGTACGTGGGCTACGAATACAGTAGCCACTGCTCGATCAGCGCCGACGCTTGCTGGTTGGCGACACACGACCACCGTGCTTTCCGCGTCTAGGGCAGCGGGCCCAGCAGCGGCTCCAGCTCGGCGAGGAGCGCGCCTACTCCACCTCCATTGGCTGTGAGGAGCGGCGCTGTGTCGCACCGCCACTCTCCCGCTCGAACAGATCCGCGCCGAGCATCGCCGACAAGCCTGAGCGGTCGAGGGCGGCGCCTACAGCCTCGGAGCATCTCGGCTGATCTCGGCTGCACCTCGGGGCTCGACAAGCCCTGGAGGCCGGCCGAGGGCGGCGCCGAGCCCGAACGACGCGGCGATGGTGAGGAGCACCTGCGGCGCGAGATCGCGCGAGATCGCGCGAGATCGTGCGAGGGCGTGCGAGATCGCGCGAGATCACGCGAAAGGGCATCCGAGAGATCGCCCGGGAAGGGGAGAGGGGGCGGGGCGGCGGTGGCGAGGGGCACCCTGTGCTGGATCGCCCGGAACGCCTGCTCGACAGTAAGGCACCCCACTCCGACGAGCAGAAACGCGGCGGCGAGCGAGAGATGCCTAAGGCAAACCTGG